GCCGCAGCCGGCGACGTCTCCCTCGTCAGAGACGACGTCGACGGCGGCGACGACGCGTGGGCGAACGGGCACGTCGAGTGCTCGGTCGCGATCGCGACGGCGACGACGAGCCGCGAGACGCGCGGCGCGCCGGGCGCCTGCCGCGCGTGGGAGGGGCCCACGTTTGTGGCGAGGTGGGTCGTCTCGGGCGCGGGGAACGCGACGACGCGACGGGCGTTTCAAACCGCGTCGTCGCTCTGGCGCGCGCGAGGGAGAGAAGAGAGCGTGGTCGGGACCGGGACGACGCCGAGGGAGGCGCTGCGCGCGATGGCGCACGCGCGGGGGATACGAGACTGTTGCGCGTTCGACGCCGGCGGCGGGAAGCTCGCGGAGGACATCTTCGGGTTTCGCGACGCGAGAACGCGGTGGGCGCTGAAGGACCTCGCCGCCGTCGCGGGCGCGGCGGCGCCGAGGCGTCTGCGCGCGCCGCACGGCGTCGGCCTCGCGATCATCACGCGCGGCGGCGTCGTCCTGGACAAAAAAAGCGAAACGGCCACGAATCAACGGTTATGTTTATCACGACAACGTCATAATAGCGGTTATCACGACGCATCGTCGTCGTGGCCGAGCGAGCACGGCGAAGCGCCGCTCGTCGTCGGATACCAAGTCACGTTCGAGCTCGCCGTCGGCGTGCACGTGCGATGCGCGTTCGCGGACGCCTCGCGACCGTCCTCGCTCGTCGGCGCGAGGAACGGGTCGCCGTCGCGCGGACGCTTCGTCGTGGAGGTGCGAGAGGGACGGAGCCTCGCGAAGAAGGCGCGCGGGGACGATCCGGATAAGGTGCGTTCTCCTTACACTGGTCCCCGTACGACCCCGTCGGCGTGGTGAACGCCGATCCTTAAGGACTTTTCCCGGCGCATCTCTCCGCCCACACCTCGCTTTCAATCCCGACACACCTCGATGCCTTTCAACTCCACCTGACGTCTTTCAACTCCACCCGACGTCGCTTCGTATGGAACGACCCTAAGACGTGGGCGGCGGGCGCGTTAAGGGAAGAGCGGGCGCTCGCGCGTAAGAGCGTCGCGTGGGAGCGCGTCGCCGCGGAGGGAGCGAAGGGGATCGGCGCGCACTTGTTCGGGTTCGAGAGCCTCGCCGCGGTGGACATGCTGCGCGCGCACGCGTTGGAGGTATCGTGGAGCGGCGAGGCGGCGGCGGCGGCGGCGGCGGCGGCGGCGGCCGCGCGGGGGAAGGCGAGCGGCACGAGGCGCAGCGGCGGGGACGACCTCTTCGCGGATCTCTTCGCGTGATCAGTAGTAGTCGCGGCGAGCGGTCACGCGTCGGGTACAGTACGAGTTACAACAAGAAAGAGCCGGGTCGCTAGACGCTATCAGGTCTACCTACGGCTTCTACGCTACGCGCGTTCGTTCGTTCGTTCGAGGGAGTCGCGGTTTGCGTCGTCGTTCGCTCGCTCGCTCGCGGTCACGCCGCTCTCGCGGTCGGGCTCGGTCGTTCCAGGAAGCTCCCGTACGCGTCGTCGAGAAGCCCGCAGAGGTTCCCGAAGCTCCTGGACAACACCGAGCGCTCGTTTTGAATCCCCGCGTCGTCCCAAGACAGCCGCGGAGGAACCGTCCGTCCCGCGGCGCGCGCGTCGCCGTCCGCGCCGCTTCCTCCTCCGTCGCTTCCGTCGGACAACTCGCGCTCCATTCGGATCGCGCGCTCCGTCGCCGCGTCGCGCTTCGTGCGCAGATCGGACTCGCCGCCGCCCAGCGGCGGCGGCCGCGTCGGCGTCGGCGTCGGCGACGGCGTCGGCGATCTCTCTCGCGCCGCCGCCGCCGCCGCCGCGGCTCTCGCCCGCGTGTCGTGCCCGTGATGATGATGATGATGATGATGATGATGCTTACGATGGCGATGATGCTTCTTCTTGTCCTTATCGTGATGATGATGATGATGCGCCTTGTGGTGCTTCGTCGTCGGCTTATGGTCCCTCCTTCTCTTCTTCTCTTCTTCTTTCGATTTAGTCGCCGTCGCCATGCGCGAGAGCCGACGCGTCGCCTTTTCCTCCTCCGTCCTCTTCAGCAGCGCGATCGCGGTCTGAACAGGCGTGAGCTTCGCGCTGGGCGAGCGCGTCTGCGCGCGGAGGAGCTCCGCGGGGTGCGGCGTGAGGTGCGAGCTCGACGACGCGAGCGTGCGTCCGCGCGCGTTTTTTTCGTCCGCCGCGCCGAAACAGTTGGATCGCGGATCGCAGCCGATGCCGATGCGGGGCCCGCGCGCGACGCCAAGACCCGAGGCTCCGTGCGCCACCCCCGGAAACGTCGCGGGGAGCGGCGACAGAGGGTTCACCGTCGCGAGTCGATCGAGGAGCGTCTGCCATCGCGGCGGTGGCGACGAGTGCGCGTGCGGCGTCGAGTGCGCGTGCGCGAACGGCGTCGGCTGCCGCGGCGGAGGCGCGCGCGACGCCGGCGTCATTTCTTAGGTACGGGGTTTCTTTATCCCTCTGCTCTCGAGTCTCGCGAGAGTTGGCTCGCGCGCGCGACGAGATTCCCCGAGACGCGGAACCCTTCCGCGTTCCCGCCCCGCGCGAATCGCGCGACGTCGCGCGCGCGTATCGAAGCGCGCGAGGGCGCGCGCGAAGACGTCCGCGAACGGTCCGAGCGCGCGGTCGCGACCGGAGACGGTCGCGCGCGGCGATGCGAGCGCGCGGCGTCGACGCGCGCGGATGGATGCTTTTTCGCGCGAACGCGGTGCCGCGTCAGAGCAAAGTGGCAATCGCGTTCCGACGGAGGCGCGTCATCACGTCGCCGCGACGCGTCGTGGGAGCGTACTCTTCGTACGCGCGCCAGTCAGAAACCGCGCGCGTCTGCGTACGACGTACTCGACGGGGATGTGATACCTTTCGAGCGCGTCGATGAAACCACATTTCACCGGGATGCGTTCATCGGTAAAGGAGGGACGCGTTCACCGGTGATGGAAAATCTTCCCTCTCCGTTTCCTCGAATCTTATTGGCCGGAAGCGGCGAGGCCGCACCCGAATCGAGGCCGCCGCGCGCGTCGATCCGCATAGTCGCGCACGCGTTCGAACGAGCACTCACACACCTCACATCTTAAAAATGGCTTGCATGTCCCTCTCCATGTCCAAGGCGCTCGTCGCCAGTGCGTCCCCGCGCCCGGCATCTCGAAACGCGCGATCTTCGCCCGCGTCGTCGACGTCGTCGCGGTGGCGAAAGAACGAAGCCACCGCGACTGATTGATGGTCGCGGTGGCACGAATCGCGGTCGCGCGCGCGCGTCTCTTCCGCCGCGGACTCCCGAGCTGACGCGCGTTCCCTCCCTCCTCTTTCGTTCCGCAGAGCCCCTGGCCCGCAAGGTCCAGGCGCGCAAGGCTGGTGCGTTTCCCCGCGCGATCTATCGATCGATGATCTATCCTCAAAACGACAGGGGGCCCCCCGCTGACGCGCTCTTCCCTCTCCCTCTCTTCCTCCTCCTCTCTCCCTCTCTCCGCAGTCGTCTCCAAGGCGACCGTCGCGAAGGCGCAGGCGCCCACCAAGGCGGTCCTCTCCGCCGCGGTCGTCTCCCTCGCCGCGCAGGCGCTCCCCGCGCTCGCCGTGGTGCGCGCGCGATCCGCACGCCCGACCCCGCGCGCCTCCGATCGTTCTGTTCGTCGACCCTAGCGCGCGAGATCGATCGATCGATCGGTCGATCGATCGATCGATCTTGTTTTTTTTCTTCCGCGGCGCGCCGCGCTCGCTCCTCCCCCGCCGCTCTCCTCTCGCGCTCGCCTCCCCTCTCACAAACGCCTTCCTCCTCCAGGTTGACGAGCGCCTCAACGGCGACGGCACCGGCCTCATCCTCGGCCTCAACGACGAGCTCCTCGGCTTCGTCCTCCTCACCATCCCCACGCTCATCTTCTCGCAGTTTTACGCCGCGCAGAAGGACGAAGGCATCGAGGCGGGCGGCAAGAACGACGACTCCGGTCTCTCCCTCTGAGCAAGCAGCGCTAGGTTTGTCACGATGGACGACGTGTGCGGTGCGGTGCTTGAGAAGGGAGGAGAATGAACGCTGCGCGGGCGTCGTCGTCGCGTCGGCGGTCGGTTAGCGGTGGTAAGAGGACGAGAAGGTGATGATGAATGAATGCACGCGCGACGAACGAGACGAGACGAGACGAGAAGGCGTCTCGTCTCGTCTCGTTCCGCGGAGGAAGATTTGTTGCGAGGCTCGAAGGATGGCGCGATAGCACGGAGAGAAGTGAAGCGAGCAGCGCGTTGAATAGTCACGCATCCTATGAGTTAATTAACGCGCGCGCCTCGGACTCGGATGCGGACTCGGACCCGGACTCGCGCCGTCGCCGCCGCCCGCCGACGACGCGAGCAACGACGCGAGCGCCTTCCTCGCCGCGTTCGCCAGTGCGCGCTTCGCCGCCTCCGCCTCCGCCTCCGCGACCATCGCGCTCGCGCTCTTGCCCCCCGCGCTCCACGCGCCGTCCGCGCCCGCGAGGGGCCCCGGCGGGTGATGTCGTCGTCGTCGCGCGTCGCGAAACCCCGCGTCCCCCGCGCCGCCGCCGCCCACCTCCTCCGCGCGATCGCGATCGATCGCGCCCTCCGCGAGCGCCTCCGCGCGCGTCGGGAGTTTCAGGCACGCGAGCGCGCTCGCGATCGTCGGCGTCACCATCCTCGCCTGCATCTCCGTCGCCGCTTTGATCGACCGCTGCGACGCTCTGAGGGCCGTTCCATACAAGCGAACGTCGGGGTGGAGTTGAAAGGCGTCAGGTGGAGTTGAAAGGCGTCGAGGTCGGTGATTGAAAGCGAGGGGTGGGCGGAGAGATGCGCCGGGAAAAGTCCTTAAGGATCGGCGTTCACCACGCGAACGCGGTCGTATGGGGACCAGTGTACAGAACGCGCCTGAGTTCGCGGAGTTCGCGCGACACGCGCTTCAACGCGGCGGGGGAGACCGAGCGCCTCCGCGACTCCTCGAGCTGCTCCGTGAGCTCGAGCACGCGCTCCTCCGCGGATATCCGCAGCGCCGCGACCGCGTGCGCTTCCTCTTGTTCGCTCCACGTCAGCAACACGTCGTCCGACGTGGCGGCGTCTGATTTGGCGTCGGCGGCGGCGTCCTCCGCCGCGGCGCGCGCGACGACGGCGTCCGCCTTCGCGCGCGCTTCCTGCAACGACGCGAGCAGGAACGCGCGCTCGCGCGCGTAGTACCGCCGCGCTTCATCCTCCGCCTCGGGGTTCCGCGGCGGCGGCGGCGGCGGCGCGGAAGACGGAACGTCAACCGTCGCGCCGGCGGCGGCGGCGGCGGCGGCGATTTTCCTCCGCCGCGACGTCGCCGCGGGATCCTCCTCGTACCTCCTCACGACGTGCTCCACGATCGCGCTCGCGCCGACGATCACGCTGCCGTCGTCCTCGTCGACGCAGTACCCGCGCACGATCGCCTCCACGACCTCGGCTTCCATGGCGTCGCGGAGGAGACCTTCGCACGCGTTGAACCCGCCGTCGCCCTCCGCCGGCGCGGACTTGGACGCGGACGTCGTCGCCGCGAAGAGCCGCTCGAGCGCGGTCCCCGGCGTCGCCGGCGGCTCCTCCTCCTCCTCCTCCTCCTCCTCCGCGTCTTCCTTCGTCACGGACGACGCCTTCTTCCTGAACGCGACCTCGACCGCGGCCTGGACGTGTTTCGACGCGTCCGCGCCGCCGCCGGCGGCGTCCGACGCATCACCCGCTCGCCGCAACAACTCGACGCGCTCGCTCGCCCACGCGCGTCGCTGCGCGGCGTGCACCACGAACAACCTCCGCGTCGTCTCCCTCGCCTCCTCCAACTTCGCGTCGTTCTCCTCCGCCTTGCGCGTCATCGCGTCGTCCCTCGCCGACCACTCCGCCTCTTTCGCCGCGACGGCGGCGCGCACCGAGCGCTCGAAAGCCTCCGCCTCGTTCGCGAGATCTTCGCGCATCGCCCGCGCGTCGCTCGCGGCCGCGTCGGAGGCTGCCTTGGCGACCTTGACGTTCTCGAGCTCGCACCGAATCGTCTCTTTCTCTTCCGTCACGGTGTGCAGCGCCGCGAGCCGCGTGGCGTGCTCCGCGCGCAGCGCGCTGAGTTCAATCTCCAGCGCCTCTTCTCTCTTCACCGACGCTCGCGTGGAGTCGACGAGCGCGCGTTCGAGCTCAGCGACGCGCGCGCGGAGCTCCACGAGTTCGTCGGCGCTCGCGGAGGACGCGGGCGGCGGCGAGGGCGCCGCCACCGCGACGGGCGGCGGCGCCGGAGGAGGAGGAGGAGGAGGAGGAGGAGGAGGAGGCGCGGGCGCCGACGCCGACGCCGACGCCGACGCCGACGCCGACGCCGCTTCGTCGTCGCCCTCCGCGTCGTCGTCGTCGTCCTTCGCGCCGCGGTCCCACGGAAACGTCCCTCGCGGGAGCTCGCTCAGCGCCGCGGGCAGCGCGCACCCCGCGACGCACCGCTCCTTCAAGTACAGCGCGACCGCGAACTCGCGGCGGTCCAGGCGTCCGTCGCGGCGCGCGTCCGCGAGATCCCAGATGCCTCGGAGCGTCTCCTTGGGGAGGCCGACGTCGTCGAGCGCGCCGACGAGCTCCTTCCCGTCGAGGTGCTCGTCCCCGTTCGCGTTCAGCGCGTCGAACGTCGCGCGGTATCGCGCGAGGTCGTCGTCCGACGCCGGCGGCCACGCCGACGCGCGCGCGGGGGTTCCGAAGCGCGCGGAGACCGAAACGGAATCGGCGACGGCTCGAGACGCGTCGTCGTCGTCGTCCGGCGCGCTCGGCGGCGGCGCGCGGATCGGCGCGGCGTCGCCGTCCGCGGGCATCGCGGATCGCGGGAGCGCGGCGGGTGTATCAGATCCGCCGCGGTCGTCGACCTGTCGACGCGCGCGCGGGTGTGGTCGCGACGACGCCCGCGATCGCGCGCCCGCCTCGATCGCTCTCGTCATATTTCAACAAAAAAAGCGCGTCAAAATAATGCTGAATTCATTCCTCGACGCGCGCGACTCGATGGCATCGATGGCGTCGTTCGCGCCCTCCCCGCACGCGCTCGCGCCGCCGCATCACCCCCACGCGCGGCGCGGCGCGTCCTCCTCGCGCGCGTCCTCGCGCGCGATGCGTCATCGCGCCGTCGTCGTCGCGGCCGCGCCGTCGTCGTCGTCGTCGAAGAAGAAGAATCTCGACGGAGGGGCGATTCGCGCGCGATGGACCGTCGACTCAAAGTACGGCCACAAAGCGGACGCGCTCGCGATGCTCGGCGAGTGGATCCACACCGTGGGCGTCGCCGCGGGTTTAGACCCCGCCAAGGTATCCCTGCACACCGGCGCGCTCGGCGCGAGGGAGAGCGCGATCGAGCTGACGGTCGACCAGTTCGACGGCGTCGCGTCGCTCGACGCCTTCTTCGCCGCGATTCCGCACGCGTCGCATCGCGCGTGGGGCTCGCGCTTCGCGGAGCACGTCGTTGACGGCTCGCCGCGGTGGGAGATCTTCAGGACGTGCGTCGTCTCCCCGCCGCCGCCGAGCGCGGGCGCGGGCGCGGGCGCGTCGCTGCCCGTCGCCGCCGCGAAGGTGGAGCACGAGATCGCCGCGTCGACGGACGGCTCAGGCGCGTTGTAGTATCGCACTGGTTCCCATACGACCGCGTCGGCGTGTTGAACGCCGTTCCTTAAGGACTTTCTCTCCCGGCGTGTCTCTCCGCCCACCCCTCGCTTTCAATCCCGACACACCGCGACGCCTGCCTTTCAACTCCACCCCTGACGCCTTTGAACTCCACCCCGACGTTCGTCGCTTCGCGCGGACCCTCGACCCTCAGACGCGACGCGGCGCCAGCTGGCGGAGGCGGTGTCGAAGGCGGCGGCGGAGGCGAAGGCGCTCGAGGACGCGACGCGCCCGCCGAAGATCGTCCCTCGCGCGCCGAAGAGCATGTCCGCGGAGCAGCTGGCCGCGCCGGTGTTCTCCGCGGACGAGTTCGGAGGGGAGGTCACGGCGGGGGGCTTGGTGCTTCCGAAAGCGTCGGACGGCGCCGACGACGCCGACGCCGCCGCCGCCGCCGACGACGACGACGACGCGGCGGCGGCGGCGTCGGAGGCTCCCGCGTCGTCGAGCGGCAGAGAGGGGGGAACGATCGACGACGACGAGTGGCGCGAGCGCGTCGCGGAGGAGATCGACCTGAGCCAGGAGCCGCCCGGGTCGTACGTCGTGAGGGACTGGAAGGGAGACCCGATGGTGGTGTACCCCGGGGACAAGCTCGGGCGGATTTGATCGATAGGAAAAGCCACAACTGGTTTCAACTAGGGTGAAAGTGTGAGCGATGAACGCGACGTTTTCACGCGCCCGCGCCGGTCAACCCCGCGTCGTTTGTGAGCCGAGCGTTTTCGAGAAGCTTCTCCCGCCGCTCGCGTTCCCGCGTTCGTCGCTTCGAGTTTCATCGACCGCCTCCTCCCCCCGCGGCGCGGAAGCGGCGTCACTCGCGCGCGCGCACGATGAGCGTGACCGTGGGCGACGTGGAGCTCAACCCGCGGGACGTCGCCGCGATCTCCCGCGGCGTCGGCCCGGAGTCGCTCACGCTGACGATACGCGCGTTCCCGTTCGGCAGGGTGCGTCCGATCGAGCGCGCGCGATCGATCGCTCTTCTTCTCTCTTCCTCGCCGCCGATTCGCGGATCGATCGTACGGCGGGATCCCGCCGCCGCTCCCTCCCTCCCTCGCGAACGAATCGAATCGGCCTCCGCGCGTCGTCCCACGTCGCGTCCATCTTCCCGCGCGCGTTCTCACCTTCCTCCTCCTCCTCCTCCTCCTCGCGCGCGCAGGGATGGTTCGGCGCGGTCCGCAAGCGTCGCTGCGGCACGCGCCATCGCGACGTCAAGCTCCGCTTCAAATCAGAGCGCGAGCTCGAGCTCGAGCGCGACCGCCTGACGCGCCTGTGCATGCCGAACGGCGCGACGTGGAGCGACGCGGAGAAGAAGAAGCGACTCCTCGTCCTCGTCAACCCGGCGGCTGGGAAAGGGAACGACGTCAGCGCGTACGAGCGCGACGTCGCGCCCGTGCTCGAGTGCGCGTTCGATCGCGCGCGAATCGACGTCGTGGTGACCACGCGCAGAGGCGAGGCGCAAGAGCGCGTCGCGTCGATGGATCTGCAGAACACCGCCGCGGTCGTGTGCGTCGGCGGCGACGGTACGATCGCGGAGGTGTTCAACGGGCTGATGTCGCGAGGCGGCGCCGCGGAGAAGTTCCCCATCGGGATGATCCCGGCGGGGAGCGGCAACGCCATCGCGAAGGTGCGTTCATATGAGTCACACTGGTCCCCGTACGACCGCGTCGGCGCGGTGAACGCCGATCCTTAAGCACTTTCTCTCCCGGCGCTTCTCTCCACCCAGGGTCCCTCGCTTTCAATCCCTACAAACCTCGACGCCTGCCTTTCAACTCCGCTTCTGACGCCTTTCAACTCCACCCCGACGTTCGTCGCTTCGTATCCGTCGCCAAGTCGCTCGCGCACGCGGGGGGCGAGCCGTGCGATCGCGCGTCGGCGGCGCTCGCCGTCGCGCGCGGGCACATCGCGCCGTTGGACCGCGCGGAGGTGTCCGGGCAGCGCGTGGGGTCGCTTTCGATCACGCGGACGCGGAGCGGACGGAAGATCACGAGCCCCGCGGCTGCAGGGCTGGGACCCACCGCCGGGTCGAGCGCCGGTAATGGCGACGCGGCGGCGACGGCGGCGACGGCGTCGGTGATGCACTCGCTGCTGTCGTTCTCGTGGGGGTTCTTCGCGGACGTCGACATCGAGTCCGAGACGATGCGATGGCTCGGCGGACTCCGGTTCACGATACAAGCGATCGTTCGAATCTTATTCCTGCGCCGGTACAGCGCGAAGCTGCGGTTTAAGCCGCTCGCGATCACCCCGGACGCCGTCCCCGCGGGTAAAAAATCCAAAGAGCTCGCCATCGGCCAAGGTGCGTTCTATACACTGGTCCCCATACGACCGCGTCCGCGTGGTGAACGCCGATCCTTAAGGACTTTCGCCGTCGTCTCTCTCCGCCCACCCCTCGCTTTCAATCCCGACACACCTCGACGCCTTTCAACTCCACCTGACGCCTTTCAACTCCACCCCGACATCGCTTCGTATGGAACGGCCCAAGTCTCGCTCAACCTGCGCGGGTACAAAGAGCCGAAGGAAGCCGCCGCGGTCGCCGCGATGGACGGCGCGTCCGCGGGCGACGCGATCGCCGACCGCCCGGGGTGGCGCGAGATCGAGGGCGACGTCCAGGGGTTATGGGCGCTGAACCTCCCGTGGGGCGGCGAGGACATGTACGCCGCGCCCGGCGCGGCGCCCGACGACGGATGCTACGACCTCCTCGTCATCGCCGGCGCGTCGCGGCTGTCGCTGCTCGGCCTCCTCCTCATCTTCGACGGCGGCGCGCACTGCACGCACCCGGCGGTGACGTACGTGAAAGCGTCCGCGTTCGAGCTCGACCCGGGGCCGAGCCACACGGGGAAAGGCGGGTTCATCGCCGTCGACGGCGAGCTCGTCGCGCGCGCCGACGGGAAGTGGGGCCGGACGCGGCGACAGGCGCGTTCTCCTTCACACTGGTCCCCGTACGACCCCGTTGGCGTGGTGAACGCCGATCCTTAAGGACTTTCTCTCCCGGCGTGTCTCTCCGCCCAGGGTCCCTCGCGTTCAATCCCGACACACCTCGACGCCTTTCAACGCCAACTGACGCCTTTCAACTCCACCCCGACATTCGTCGCTTCGTATGGACCCTCGACCCTCAGGACCGCCGGACGCGCGAGGGAGACTCGGACGACGAGCGCGAGATGGTCGGTGGGGGTTCGGGTGCGAAGGGGAGCGGCGGGCACGCGGACGTCGCGCGTCATAAACATAAGAACGGTTCGATATCGACCGTCACGGGCGACGGGGAGGGGTGGAGAGCGGCGTACGCGCCGATGTCGATGCGGGTGGTGCGCGCGGCGGCGAGAGTTTTTTGCGCGCCGCCGGCGGCGGCGGCGAGCGGCGGGAGAGGAAAGGTCGCCGCGGCCGACGACGCGGGCGTCGGGGACCAGGCGTGAGCCGCGAGCGCGGCGGCGGCGTGGGGGTCCGCGAGAGTGGAGTTTTTATCATCGCACAGCGGGGTGGGGTGGGTAATATCATCGACGCCGCGGTAGGAGTAAAACGCACGTGATGCGTGCAGAAAGTCTCGCGCCGCTCGTCGTCCGCCTCCGTGCTAGAAGGTACGTGCCTGTCCAACGCGCTCGCGCGTGACCCTAAATACTGTACGTCGACGGGATCGATCGGTTGCGCGCGCACACCGCGCGGCGCGCTCCTCACGACCGTCCCCCCGCGCGAACCGCTCATCACCGACGATGTCCGACGACGCCCCTCCCGCGGTGCCGCCGGCGGCGAACGACGACGCCGGCGAAGGCGGCGTCTCGAAGAAGGCTGCGAAGAAGGTCCGCCGCGCCGTCTCGTCGCTTCCGTCGTTCGGTCGATTCGATCCGCCGGTGGCGATGATGGGGCCGATCGCGCGCGCGGTCCCGTCGCGTCGCGTCCCTCCCCCGAGACCGCGGACGCCGCTCCATTCGCTGACTGACGATCGACCCCTCCGCGCCTCCGTCCATCCCCGTCCTCCTCCTCCTCCTCCTCCTCCTCTCCCCGACCCAGGCCGCGAAGGAAGCGGAGAAGGCTGCGCTCAAGGCGAAGAAAGCCGCGGAGGTGGCGGAGCGCGAGGCCGCCGCGCAGGGCGGTCCCGATCCCCTCGCGGATCGCTACGGCGACGCCCCGCTGATTCAGTCGAAGGAGATCACCGGCAAGGTGTGGACGCACGCGCGCGACATGACGGCCGCGAGGGTGAACGAGACGGTCACCCTGCGCGGGCGCGTGCACAACGTCCGAGGCAAGGGCAAGTCCGCGTTTCTCATCCTGCGGCAGCAGACGGCCACGGTGCAGGCGCGTCGTCGTTCGTATCACACTGGTCCCCATACGACCGCGTCGGCGATGTGAACGCCGATCCTTAAGGACTTTTGCCGTCGTTTCTCTCCGCCCACCCCTCGCTGCTTTCAATCCCCGCCCTCGACGCCTTTCAACTCCGTCTGACTGACGCCTTTGAACTCCGTCCATCCATCCGCCCGACGCCGCCCCGCAGTGCGTCTTTTTTGTGGACGACGTCGACGTCAGCAAGGGCATGGTGAAGTGGGTCTCGAAGCTCGAGGCGGAGTCCGTGATCGACATCAGCGGCGTCGTCGCGGTCCCGAGCGAGGGTCCGGTGGTGTCGTGCACGCAGAAGGAGGTGGAGCTCGTCGTGCACTCGGTCTACTGCGTCTCGAGGTCGGTGCCGAGGCTGCCGTTTGAGGCGCGTTCTATACACTGGTTCCCATACGACCGCGTTGGCATGGTGAACGCCGATCCTTAAGGACTTTGCCCGGCGCATCTCTCCGCCCAGGGTCCCTCGCTTTCAATCACCGACCTCGACGCCTTTCAACTCCGCTTCTGACGCCTATGAACTCCACCCCGACGTCGCTTCGTATGGAACGACCCTGAGATCGACGACGCGTCGCGCCCGGAGAGCGATTTCGATAAGGAAGACGGCGCGCAGTACGTCCGCGTGCTTCAGGACACGCGGTTGAACTACCGCGTCATCGATCTGAGGACGCCGGCGAACCAGGCCATCTTTCGCGTGCAGAGCGCGGTGTGCGAGCTGTTCAGGGAGGCGCTTAGGAGGAAGGACTTCGTGGAGATTCACACGCCGAAGCTCATCGGCGGCGCGTCCGAGGGCGGCGCGTCCGTGTTCAAGCTGGATTACATGGGCCAGCCCGCGTGCTTGGCGCAGTCGCCGCAGCTGTATAAGCAGATGGCGATCGAGGCGGACATGGACAGAGTTTTCGAGATTGGGCCGGTGTTTCGAGCGGAGAATTCGAACACGCATCGACACCTGTGCGAGTTCACCGGGCTCGACATGGAGATGACGATCAAAGAGCACTACTCCGAGGTGTTGGACGTCCTGAACGACTTGTTCCTTCACATGTTCGATGGGTTAAACGAGCGGTTCAAGCACGAGCTCGAGGTTGTCAACGCGCAGCACCCGTTCGAGCCGCTCAAGTACCTGAACCCGACGCTGCGTCTGACGTTTCCGGAAGGGATCAAGATGCTCCAAGACCACGGCGTCGAGGGCGTGGACCCGCTCGGGGATCTGAGCACGGAGCAGGAGCGCGTCCTCGGCCAGCTCGTGAAGGAAAAGTACGACACGGACTTTTACATCCTCCACAAGTACCCGCTGAACGCGCGGCCGTTCTACACGATGCCGTGCCCGCACGACGGCGACTACACCAACTCGTTCGACATCTTCATTCGAGGCGAGGAGATCATCTCCGGCGCGCAACGCATCCACGACGTCGAGCTCCTGAGCAAGCGCGCGGTGGAGTGCGGGATCGAGATTGAGACGATCCAGGCGTACATCGACGCGTTCAAGTACGGCGCGCTGCCGCACGGCGGCTGCGGCGTCGGGTTGGAACGCGTCGTGATGTTGTTCTTAAACCTGGGTAACATTCGCAAGACGTCGATGTTCCCGCGCGATCCCCGGCGGTTGGCGCCGTGACGTGATTGATTTGACTGACTGACGCGCGGCGAGGGCGAGGGCGAGGGCGAGGGCGAGGGCGAGAGAGAGAGAGAGAGAGTTGGGGCGACGCGTGGCGCGCTCGCGTGCGTCGTCGTGTGTCGCCCTATGTCTACTAGAGGTTTGCTATGACCGGGAGCGCAGCCGCGGCGCTCCAAAGAATAAAGAATCATTTTTTTCGCTCGTCGTCTCCGCGCCGTTCCGTCTCGCGTCGCGTTGTCACGGCTCCACGGCCGCGCCGGCTTTCTCCGCCGCGGCCGCGATCGTGTCCTCGTTCATCGCCCGCATCCCCCACACGGTCAGATCCCACGCGACCAACGACACCGGGAACCCTAACGATATCCGGAGCGCGGTCACCGCCGTCCCTTTGTACAACGCGCGCCACCCCTCGGTTCGAACGATCTGCGGGCGGCGTTCAAAGGCGCGTCAGACGGAGTTGAAAGGCATCGAGAGCGAGCGCGCTTTAACTAAACCGAGGGGTGCGCGGAGAGAAACGCCGGGAAGTAAAGTCCTCAAGGAACGGCGTTCACCGCGCCGCCGACGCGGTCGCATGGGGACCGGTGTAAATATGAACGCGCCTTCGCGAACGCGTCCGTCACTCCGGCGTACTCCGCGCGGCCGGTCTTGACGTCCGGCACTCGCGACTGCATCCGCGACTTGACGACGTCGAACGGCATCTTAAACGCGGTCGCGACGAGCCCGCCGAGAAGACCCGTCGCGAGCGACTGCGCGACTTGCTCGGAGACGGTCCGCGGCGCCTCCATCAGATTTTCCTTCGCGAAAAAGATGGAGCCAAAGTAAAAGGCGTTGAAGACGCAGTTGCGTCCGATCGTCGCGTAGAAGCCGCTGTACAGCGAGGCCGCGCCCTCCGTCGCGACCATCGTCCGCGCGCACTGCCAGCTGTGCGCGTACCTCGACGCGTTCTCGCGCGCCTGCATCCGGCACTTCACCGCCTCGAACGGCGTCACGCAGATTGACTCCGGAACGCCGGTGAGGAACGCCGCGGCGAAAGCGGTCGGCGTCGTCAGCGTCCCGCGCTCGCCGACGACCAGCCTCTTGGAGTGCTCGTTCCCGACGTACATCACGAGCGCCTGCGGGCGCGCCGCCGCCGGGAGGACGCCGCGATACAGCGAGCGGATCCCGCCCGAGGACGCCTGAGATGAGGGTCGTTCCATACAAAAAGTTTTCACCGGTCAGTTGAAAGGGAACGCGATCAAGTGTTGAAACCGAGCGATGGGCGAAAAACGTTTGTATAGAACGCACCTGACGCGCGAGCTCGCGGACGAACGGCGCGTTCGCGCCGCGATTGACGTGCGCGCGCGTCTTGACGACGTCGACGGGATGACACGCGACCGCGTCCGCGACGCCGGCGGCGAACCCGGCGACGATCTCCTGCGTCGCGGTGAGGCGGGTCGGCTTCGGCTTCGGCTTGGGGGGGGGCATGACGCGAGCGAGCGAGCCGCCGCGGCCGCCGCCGGGCCGGTCGCTCTGTCTTCAGCGCGTCCTGTCTTCGTCTCTCCACGTCCGACGCGACGTTCGGTGATTTATCTGTTCGTGGGTGACGTACAACGTACTTTTTCAGTGCTAATGCGCATACACGTACCTGGTACTTTCGATTGCCGATTGCCTCGTCACCGAGATATTTTCGCCACGTCCTCATCACTCACCGTTGCGGTCTCAATCCTCGCGACGCGAGACGCGCGACGCGCGATACGTCGTATCTCTCCCCGCGCGATTGCGATCGCGCGCGCGTTTTGATCGCACCGAACGCGCGGAGACGCGCGCTCGAGCCGCGCCCGACCGCTCTCCGCGTCAGCCCCGCGCGGAGTCCCCATCGGCATCAGAGGGGAAAAAAAGCGACGAGGAAGAGAAAAAGGGAGGAAAAGCGACGCGACGACGCGCGCGACGGGGTCCTTCGATCGCCGCGTTATGATCGACCACCTCGACCCGCCCGTGAACGTCTCCCCCGACGCGACGTCCGACGAGCACGAGAACCACGAGAACCACCACGGCGAGGACGACCCTGACGAAGCCCGTCGCCTGCGACGCGTCAAGTCCAACCGCGAGTCCGCGCGAAGGAGCCGCGCGCGAAAGCAGCAGCGTCTCGTCGAGCTCGAGCGCTCGACGCGCGTCCTCGACGACGACGTGCGGCGAACGCGACAGAACGTGGCGCTGATGTCGAGCGTGATGTATCACGTCGTGGAGGAGAACCGACAGCTCGAGAGCGAGTGCGCGGCGATCGGAAGGCAGATTCTCGCGATGAACGAGCAGGCGGTCGCGAAGGCGCGCGCCGACGCCATCGCGCAGGGAGCGATGGCGCGACGAGGGGGAGGGACGACGACGACGGGGACGGGCGCGTCGGGAGGGGCGGGGGCGGGGATGATAGGGAGGGTCGACTCGCCGAAATCGCCGCATCGCATCCGACGCGCGCCTTCGCTGACCGTGGTGCGCGAGGAAGAGGCCGAGTACGCGTTCCACGCCGGAGGGACGACTTCCGCGGCGTGACGCCGACGCGCGAACGAACGAATTGCGTTCTGTTGTAAAAAAATCATCGATCGTCGATCGCCGCCGCGCGCGCTCTCACCCCCCCACCCCCCACCCCCCATTCCTCATTTCTTTCTCACATCGCCGCGGGATCGTCTGCGATCAACACCAGCGCGATCTCCCCGCTCGCGCGCCCGCACAGCCGCCCCAACCGCGTCACCGCGCAGGTAAACGTCGAGGACACCTCCCCGCCGACGAAGACGCTCCCGCGGCGCCGCGACTGCTCCGCGAGCTCGATCCCTGCGTGGGTGAACCGATCGGTCAGTCGAACGTCTTACCGGTCAAACGTTGAAAGGGAAGCGCGGGTGAAGAATGACGACGGGAAAAGTCCTTAAGGAACGACGTGCACCACGCGAACGGGGTCGTATGGGAAGCAGTCTCACCTGCGTTGACGACGTCCGTCAGCGGCACGACGGCCGCGCCGACGGGCTCGCGCTCGAGGGCGATGGTCCCCACGAGCGTGGTCCCAGCGAGACCGTCGAGGCGCGTCGGGAGCGTGAGGTTCGCGACCGGTTCGTCCGCGGACGCCGACGGCGTCGGCGTCGGCGTCGGCGTCGTCGGCGGCGGCGGCGCCGCGGCCTCCGTCGCCGCGTCGGCACCCTCCTCGGCACCCTCCTCGGCACCCTCGACGGCACCCTCGACGGCGGCACCCTCCGCCGCGCCCTCGTCGCCGGACTTCTTCTTCTTCGAGAACAGCCTCGACATCTTCGCGTACGCCTTGGCCTTGGCCTCCTTGGCCTTCGCTTTGTACTCCGCCGTCTTGCTCTTGGGGTCGAGGGTCCGTACGAGCGATGATATCGGGGTGGAGTTGAAAGGCGTCAGTTGGAGTTGAAAGGCGTCGAGGCGTGTCGGGATTGAAAGCGAGGGACCCTGAGCGGAGAGAATCGCCGGGAGAGAAAGTCCTCAAGGATCGGCGTTCACCACGCCGACGCGGTCGTATGGGGACCGGCGTGATGAGAACGCGCCTTGGTCCCGGCGCCCGGCGCCGCCGCGACCGCGCCCGAGGCGTCGGGCTCGCCGCCGCCCTCCCCGGGCGTCGGCGGCGGCGGCGGCGGACCGAGCGCGAACATCGGCAGCGCCTCCTGGTTCCACACGACCTCCACGACGGTCTGCGCGCCGAGGGTGCCGTCCGCCTCGTCCGCCGCCGTTCGGGGATCCGTCGTCGTCCGCGTCGGCGTCGCCGCGCCGTCCGCCGCCGACGCGGATCTCGTCGACGGATCCCCGACCCACCACGTCCCCGCGCCGCACCCGCCGCCGTTCGGGCCCTCGCACGTGAATTGGCACACCGCGGGCGGGCCGTCGTACTTCCCAGCGGCGCCACCCACGCCCGCGGCGACCGCGAGCCGACGCAGCGCGTCTCTCAAGTCGGACGCGCTCACGCCGTCTTTTTTGCCCCCGGCGGCGGTCTTCGCGTCCGCCGCCGCCGCGCTCTTCGCGGTCGCGTTGTCCTTCTTCGGCGACGTCAGCGACACGGAGTTGCGTCGAGACGGCGTCGCGTCCGGAGTTCCGGGCTCCGTTCCGTTCGCGTCCTTCGGCTGCCGTAACGTCACGTCGTCGAGCGTTACGCGGAAGTTTACGAGCCGCAGCGTCGCCTTCACCATCGTCGCGCCGGCGGCGGCGGCGCCCGCCGTCTTCTTCGCGGCCGCCGCCGTCTCCCCTCCCGCCGCCGCCGCCGCCGCGACCTTCGCGTGGAGGTGATCCAACACCTTCGGCAAATCAACCTCGCACGACGCGTACACCGGCGCGTGGTCGCTCGTGCACAACGGCTTCGCGGCGTCGTACTCCGCCACGCGGACGCCGCGCGACGGCAGCGAGTGAAACAACACTCGGTCCGCGTACGACGGCACCCTCTTCCGCGAGTACTCGCACCGACGCTCGCGCTTGTTCGGGTCGTACTTGAACGTCGGCGGGAACCCGAGTGGGGCCTCGCGGAACCCGTGGAGCGCCGCGCCGCGTCGCCGCTCGCGGTTGAGTTGATCCGCGTCGAGCAACGCCGCGAAATCGCCCGCCGCCGCCTTAGGGTCGTTCCATACAAAGCGACGTCGGGGTGGAGTTGAAAGGCGTCAGGTGGAGTTGAAAGGCGTCTCGGTGTGTCGGTATTGAAAGCGAGGGGTGGACAGAGAGACACGCCGGCAAAAGTCCTTAAGGATCGGCGTTCACAACGCCAACGCGGTCGTATGGGGACCAGTGTGAGATAGAACGCACCTTTTCGTTCACCGCGTTCCACCCCTCGACGTACCGCGCCGCCGCGGCGGCGATCTCGTCGTCGTCCTTCCCGCTAATCTTGACTTCCTCGTCCTCTTCCTCTTCTCTGCGTCGGTCGCGCACGAGCGGCGCGGCGGCGGCGTCGTCGAGTCCCTCCGCGGGCGCCCCCGGCGACGTCAGGGGCCCCGACGTCGCCGTCGCGTTGAGAAGACTGGCGTTCCCGCCGCCGCCGAGAGGAGGCGGCGGCGTCGCGCTGGAAACCCCCGACTCCCGCGCGGCCGCGTCGGCGGCGGCGAACGCGGCGACGGCGGCTTTATCCCGCGCGCCGCTCTTGTTCTTGAGCGCGGCGGCGATGCTCGTCGAGCTCGTGTCGAACCCGCGCTTCCAGCTCTTGTTCCACCCGCGGCCGGTCACCACCCCGGGGTCGATCCTGTAGTTGAGGTCCCCGAACACGAACACGTGCGACGTGCACGCGAGGAGTTCCACGGCGTGCGCGTGATCGCGCCCGTGGTCCACCTTGGCCTTCGTCTTTTCCTTCCACTTCTTCGAGATGGCCGCCATCGTCGTCGGAGACGCCATCGTCGTCGGAGTCCGCTTCGCCGTCGGGCTCCCGGGGGACGTCGGCGGCGTCGCGCCGGTCGACGAAGCGCCTCCGCCTCCGCCTCCGCCTTCAAGGTCTGGGTCCCCTCCGGGTCCCGCGGCGCCCCCCACCGCGCTTGCGGCGCCCTCGTGCGCGTTGGCCGTCCCCCCCGGCGGCCCGCCGCCCAACTTTGCCGGCCTCGAGCTCAGCCAACACCCGCTCAGAATGCGCGCGAGGGAATCGTTCCTCGCGAGGACGTGCTTCGCGCCCTCGTGCGCGGCGAGGTGCGCGGCGACGAACGCGATGCTCTCCCCGCCCTGCAGCGCGAGTCTGACCATCAGCCCCCCTTTGTTCCCGACCGCATTGAGGATCCCCGTGGCCTGATGCCCGACGCGAATCTGTGAAGGGCGGGGGCGGGGCGGTCCGCGCGTGGCGACGAACGGAGTTCGGGCGGAGTTCGGGGCGCGTCAGAAGCGGTGAAAGTCAAAGTCCTTAAGGAATGAAGTTCACAACGCGAACGCGGTCGTATGGGGACCAGTGTGCGAGAGGCGTCGCGGCGCGTCGGGATTGAAAGCAAAGCAGCGAGGGGTAGTGGGCGCAGAGAAACGACCGAACCGCCGGGAGATGATAAAGTAAAGTCATCAAGGATCGGCGTGCACCGCGTTCTCACGCGGTCGTACGGGGACCTTTCTGTGATACTACGACGCGCGCACCTCCGCGACGAGATCCGCGACTGGCGCCGCGGCGAGGACGATGAGGCGCATCTGAAGCAGCACGCTCGTCTGCGCGACGACGTATCCCGGCCCCACCGCGGCTTTCACGACGTCGAAGAAGTGATTCCGAACCTTGATCTCCTCGGTGACTTTCGTGGAGGAGTAATACCCCGCGGCGGCGCCGACGAAGAAGCCGACGGGCGCGAACGGCCCCGCCGCGACCGCGCCCGCCATCGCTCCCGCGGCCATCCCTCCCGCGCGCGTCAGCTTGGAGCTCTTCATGAACCCGAGCTTCTTCACCTGGTACGCGTTCGCGTCCTGGAGCTCCGCGGAGACGAGCTTCGGGGAGAGGTTATGCTTGGCGTGCGGGTACGACGCCTCCTGCGCCGCGATCGCGATCACGTCGTGCCCGCGCGCGCGCGCGAGCCACTCCGCGCACGCGTCCATCTGCGGCGCCTCGTTGCCGAGGTTCCACGTGCCGACGAACACGGAGACGCCGCCGCTGCCGGGCGCGTGCGGCGCGCGTCCGGCGGCGGCGGAGGAGGGAGACGGCGCCGGTCCCCCTCGCGTGTCCGTCATGGTGGACGCGCGGCGCGGGCGGGGGCGCGCGGAGACGGACGGACGGGATGGATGGAGTGACGCGTCGACGATTCTCGCGCTGACGTTTCGTCTGGTCCGAGACGAGACGAACGAGAATTTCCTGAGAATTTCGGTGTTCGGTGCCGCATCAGGCGCGGCGATTCGCCACTCGCCTCGGACGCCGCGATGGACGCGCCGCCGACGACGACCGCGGAGGCCCCCGTCGTCGCGACGGACCCGCCCGCGCCGTTCTTGAGCGCGGAGTCGTCGTACGACGCGGACCCGCCGCCGCCGCCGCCGCCCGGGGAGGACGACGCCGCGGACGCGAACGCGGAGGAGACGAAATCGAGATCGCCGGAAGCGGACGGGGACGGCGATTCCGCGACGCCCGCGCCCGCCGTCGTCGACGCGGACGACGACGCGACGCCGATGTCGCCCGCGGACCCGCTGTTCGCGACCGGGGCGGCGATCCAGGAGGACGCCTCCGACGCGCCCGACGTCGACGCCGCGGCGCCGCCCGCGGCGACCGCGCGTCGTCGACCGCAGACCGCGCGTCCGTCGCGAGGAGGGGCGTCGTCCGCGAGCGCGAGCGAGTCGTCGAAACCCCTCCCTGGGAAACCCTCGAGCGCGTCGTCGCGCCCGAAGAGCGCGATGCGCCCGGCGAGCGGCCTGAAGTCCTCGCGTCCGACGTGCGTCCCGATCCTTCTCGCCGCCGCCGCCGCCGCCGTCACCGCGCCTTCGCGCGACGAACCACGACGCGATTCGTTCGTCGTCGTCGACTCGATTCAACAATTCGTTCGTTCGATCCAATTCCGTTCGCGCGATTCTGACATCCATCCCCCTCTCCTTCACACACGAAACGCACAGGAGCGCGGCGTTAACATTCTCCGCGTCGGACTTCCCGAAAACCTGGGGCTCCCGCCCCGGCACCGCGAAGACGGACGCCTCCGGGAAGACGAACTGGTCGTGGGCCTCCTACCAATCCTGCCCCGCGCCCTACGAACATCTCATCCCGTCGCGATGGAAAGACGGGACGCTCTCGAAGGACGAAGCGAGCGCCCTGGGCGACCGTCTGTATCGCGACGCGAAGCGAAGGCACGCGAGCGCGGTCGATAGGATGAACGTTCAGCCGGCGAAGACGCGGTGGAGCGGCCGCGAACGAAAGACGCGGGAAGAGCTCGCCGAGGCGTTCGATCGCCTCGCCGCCGACGGCGTGAGGCGCGTTCTATCTCACACTGATCCCCATACGACCGCGTCGGCGTGGTGAACGCCGATCCTTAAGGACTTTTCTTCCCGGCGTTTGTTTCTCTCCGCCCACCCCTCGCTTTCAGTCCCGACGCACCTCGACGCCTTTCAACTCCGCTTCTGACGCCTTTCAACTCCGCCCCGACGTCGCTTTGAACGATGGAACGACCCTCGACAGACTCATGGAACGCCGCGCGCAGAAACCAGAGCCGGTGACCACGGGACGGTGGACGCAGCGGCTCGAGGGCGGGCCCGTTCTCGAGGCGGCGCCGAAGATGACCAAGGTGGAACGAGTCGCGGCCGGGATCGGGCAGTTCCGGAAGTACCGACCGGCGAGTCACCGCACGCGCGCCAAGATGCTGGAGTTGTATCTCCCGGACGCCACGGACGAAGAGCGCGAGATTCTGATGAAGACGAAGGGCCGCTCCGACGCGGACGAGCCCGAGGAGCTCTCCGCCGCGGAGCTGGAGAGCGCCGCGGAGAAGGAGCTCGACGACGCGGCCGCGATGAAGGAGGACAGGCGAGAGGCGATGCTGAACACGTCGCGGAAGATGGCGGAGACGGCGCGGGCGTACTTCGCCGAGCAAGAAGCCAGGGAGGCTGAGCGCGTTGAGGTGCGTTCTATACACTGGTTCCCATACGACCGCGCTGGCGTGGTGAACGCCGATCCTTAAGGACTTTGCCCGTCGTCTCTCTCCGCCCACCCCTCGCTTTCAATCCCCGCCCTCGACGCCTTTCAACTCCACCTGACGCCTTTCAACTCCACCCCGACGTTCGCTCGTATGGAACGACCCTGAGGCGATGAGAGCGCGGCAGGCGGAGAGCGCGGCCAAGGCGAGGGCGCACGAGCTGAAGGTCAGGGCCGCCGCGATCGCGGCGCGGGAGAAGCTACGAGAGGAGCAGAAGGCGATGGCGGAGCATTACGAGCAGGAGCAAGCCAGGCTGACGACGCTTCACGAAGCCGCCGCGAAGAAGCGTCGCGCGGAGATTCGCGCCGAGGACGAACGGCGGAAAGAGCTCGACCGCCAGCGAGAGATCGATAAGCGCGCGCACATGAAAGCGCTGCGGGAGAAGCAGCGCGCGAGGGAGGCGGCGTGGGCGGCGAGGATGGAGAGCGAGGACGGCGAGCGCACGACGGGGATGGCGGTGGAGATTCGGGAGTTCCAGAAGCGGATGGACTCGGCGAGGCGAGCGGACAGCGCGCGGCGGAGAGACGCGCAGCGCAGGGAACGACGCGAAGCTAGGGAGAAAGAGGCTGAGTACCGCGAGCATCTCCAGAGGATCGCGGACGAGCAAGCGGAGAAGGCGGCGCAGAGGTTGAAAGAGATTCGAGCGGCGCAGAAGAAGGCGGCGCGCGACGCCGCGAAGAAGCAGGCGGAGCGCGTGGAGAGGCTCAAGCTCGAGGAGGAAGCCGCGAGGTCGAAGGACGAAGAGATGAAGACGCGGATAGCCGCGAGGAAAGGCATGCTCGTCGCGTGATGAAGAAGAACCATGATGTCGGCGAAGCGTTATTCGTTTACGTTGTGTTGTTAATTAATACCTTCGTTGCTGTGCGTCGTCGTTTCCCTCGGAGCCGACGCCTCCGCGCGCGCTTCCTTCTATCCCGCCGCGTCGTCGTCCTCCCTCCGTCGCCTCCCTCGTCGCTACAAAGTCGCGTCCACCCCCGCTCCCCCCCTGACGTTGACGTTGTCGACGGACGCGGCGAACAGCTCCCTGACGATCGCCCTCGCGCGCGCCTCCGCGTTGGCGTCCCCCGCCTCGATCGCAGCCTCCACCGCCGACGCCGCGGCGAGCAGCGCCGGCCGAGAAGCCATCTCGTCGTCAAACGTCGGAGCCGCGAACGGCGTCGCCGGCGCGGACGCGACGCCGTCAACGACGAGGTCGCTCGCCGCCGCCGCGCGCACGGCGTCGATCGCGGCGACGGAGGAGACGTCCAGCGAGACGAGCTCCTCCGCGGCGGACCGGAACGGCGGTTTGAACGACGCGTCGATCGGCGCGTTCGGGTCGTTCGGGTTCGGGTTCGGGTTCGGACCCGTCGCCGCCGCCGTCGCCGCGTCGCCGGCGGGACCTTCGTTCCACGCGTCGAGCCCCCCGAGCGCCCTCGCGACCGCGCGAAGGTTCACGCCGTCGGCGTCGTCCTCCTCGTCGTCCGCGACGCCATCCCCCCCGTAGATCCCGTTCCCGTTCCCGTTCCCGTCGTCGTCGTCGTCCCCCCCCTCTCCCCCCCCGAGTCGCCGCCGCCGCGGTTGAGCGCTCGTCGGCGCGCGTCGGAAGAGACTACTCGTCGTCGTCGGCGCCACCTCCCCCCGTCCCGCCGCCCCTCCCTCGCTCGGCGGCCGCGCCGGCGTCGCCGGCGCGGACGCCGTCGAGTACGCCGCCGCGACCGCGACCGCGCTCGCTTCCGCGCGCGCACGCAGCTCCTCGGCCGCGGTCACGAACACCCGCCGCCGCGCCGCGTTGCCGCCTCGAGCGCCGTACGGCGACGACGCGCCGGCGCCCACCCCGGGGGTCTGACGCATGACCGGGAGCCCCCGCGCCGGGGTCGCGGGCGCGGAGTCCGCGCGCGTCGGCCGCGGCGGGGACATCCACGGCGGCGGGATGCCGCGCGTCGCGCCGCCGCCGCCGCCGCCGCCGCCGCCGTCGCCGCCCCCGTCGCCGTCGCCATCTTCCTCCGAGATGGCCGGCGGCACCGACGCCGCCGTCGCCGGTCGATTCACCATCCGGCGGACGTACTCCGCGCGGACCGCCTCCCTCGCGCGCGCGGCCGCGCCGACGATCGCGTGCGTCTGCGCGTTCGCCGCCGCCTCCGCCCTCAGCGCCGCGTTCTTCTCGCGGACGTGCTCCGGCGTGAGGCCCTCGGGTAGCGTCGCGCGGCACATCGGGCACGTGCTGTTATTATTAGTACACGTACACGGGTGTGACGTCGGGGGCGGCGACGAGAGGCGTCAGATGATGGACTGATGGAGTCGAAAGGCGTCGAGGCGCGTCGCGATCGAAAGCGAGGGACCCTGGGCGGAGAGAAACGCCGCGCACGCCACCGCGTTCTCACGCGGTCGCGCGGGGACCGACCGACGCGCGCCGAGGACGCGCCTGAAGTCCGCCTCGCGGCATCGCACGAGGCACGCGCGATGGAACACGTGCATGCACGTCGTCGTGAAGAGTTCCGCGCCGTCGTCCAGCGGGGAGTAGCATATCGCGCACATCTCCGCGCCGTCGTGGTACCCCGCGCACTTCAGACCGGGCGCGGGCGTCGGCGGGGCGTGGACGCCGACGCCGCGGTCGAAGGCGTCGCGGTCGGAGGTTCCGAGACGCCGCCGCGCGGCGGTGGACGGCGTCGTCGTCGTCGACGCGGCCGTCGCGAAGCACAGTCTTCGACGGTTCGCGGTCGCGGGCGTGCGCGTCGCCGTCGTCGTCGCCGCCGCGGTCGTCGTCGTCGTCGTCTGCGGCGGCGGCGCGTCTTCGTCGGGCGCGTCGTCCTCGTCGAGCGACCGCGGCGTCGTCGGCGGCGTCGCGTCCGCGTCCCGCGCGTCGTCGTCGTCGTCTCGCGTCATCTTGTTCGTTCGCTCGTCGTCTCCGCGCGCCCCTCGGGACGGACGACGAGATGGACGGAGGACGCCCCGGACCTTCGCCGCGCCGCGTCCGCAGCCTACGCTACGCGCGCCGTCGTCGACGACCCACCCCCGACGCGGGCTGTGACTCGCGCGTCGCGCTCGACGCCGCGCTCGGTATCGCCGCGCGCGCGCGATGGGACTGACGACGCGAACGCGAGGTGGGCACACAGCTGGCACGGCAAGAGGGGGAACAAACAGATTCGGCCCGTCAAGTCTGGCTGACGACCAGCTCGAGAAACGAGAGAAAGACGCTTGAGAGGCGAGAGACGACGCGAGGACGACGATGATGACATGACGCGCGCGTGCCAAAGAAAGAAAGAGTAGTCCCTCTATTACACGCATCACTCGCGGCCGCTCCTCGGCGTCCCCGCGCCGCTCCCGGACGCGCTGTCGCCGCTCCTCGCCGACTTCGCCGGCGACGGGGACGCGGCGACGGGCGAGGCCAACGCCGACATCGTCCCGCTCGGCTCCCGCCCCAGCAGCATCTTCCGCCGTCTCAGCGCGTCGTACACGTCCCACTCCAGCGCGCCCTTCCCGTTCATCCCGGGAGATAACCCGATCGCCTCGCTCACGGAGAGCTCCGCGTGCGGACCGGACCCGCCGCGCGCAGTCACCGTATCGTTCGCGCGCGTCTCTCGCATCTCGCGGACGCGTCGCAGCGACTCTTTGTTCACCTCCGCCTCCGCGCGTCCGATCGCAATCTCTTCGAACGTCTCCACCGCGTCGCACAGCATCGCGCTGACAGACTCTCGGAGCTGGCGCAGGTACCGCGGCTTCCACGGCGGTTTCCTCGGCGGCGTGCCCGCGGGTGGAGCCTGAGCCGCGTCGCCCCCAGGGTCCGCCTCGGCGTCGCCGCCCTCCTTCTCCTCCTCCTCGGGCGGCGGGCCGTGCGCCGCCATGGCCGCCGCCGCGGCGTCGTCGACACCGGACAGCGCGTTCGCGAGCGACTCGCTCGCGGCGACCGCGAGCAAGTCCGCGCGTCCTTCCGGGAGCAGCGCCTCTTCGATCGCGCGCTCGTAGTCGCCGCGAAGGTTCATCAAGACATCCGACGGCGTCTCAAACGGCGCCGCGTCTTCGCCCTCCGCCGGCGGCGGCGGCGCGTCCGGGTCGACGTAGTCCGGGTTGTTCTCGATCGCAGCCTGGAGCGAGTCCAGCTCCTTCGCGACCGCGTCCACGGCGCCGATCCAGACGCTCTCGTCCGGGGGCGGCTCCTCGCCCTCCGCGGGCGGCGGCGGCGGCTCGGGTTCACCCTCGATCGCGAACCGCTTCGCGCGCGCTTTCTCGCGAATCTCCCTCAACGCGACGAAGCCCTCGTGCGTGTAATACACCCTCGGTCGTCGCCCGCGGTTCCCCGCGCGCCACAGCGCGGCGTCCGCGTTGCTCTCCGGCCCGCGCTTCGTGAGGTCGGTCGCCGTCGCCGTCGCCGGGGTCTTCACCGCGCGTAAAACCTTGGACGCGTCGGGGTGGAGTTCAAAGGCGTCAGTTGAAGTTGAAAGGCGCCGAGGGCGGGGATTGAAGGCGAGGTGTGCGCGGAGAGACACGCCGAGAAAAGTCCTTAAGGATCGGCGTTCACCGCGCCGACGCGGTCGTATGGGGACCAGTGTCAGGAGAACGCACCTTGGACACCGCGGTGGACACCTTGTGCACCATCTCCTTGCGTTCCATCTCGTTCGTCAGCCCGCGTCGCGGATGCGAGTGCTCGTCCTCCGGCGTCGCGAACCCTCGCAGCGTCACCGCGGGCATCGGCCCTTTGCGCAAATTCGGCCTCGTCTCCACCAGCCACTTGTCCATGAACATCCCCGGCTTGTCTGATGAGGCGCGTTCCGTACGAAGCGACGAACGTCGGGGTGGAGTTCAAAGGCGTCAGAAGCGGAGTTGAAAGGCGTCGCGGTGCGTCGGGATTGAAAGCGAGGGACCCTGGGCGGAGAGAATCGCCGGGAGAAAAAGTCCTTAAGAAACGGCGTCCACCACGCGAACGCGGTCGTATGGGAACCAGTGTGAGATGGGACGCGCCCGACTTGAACGTCCAGACAATCTCCTTCGACTGCCCGGGCAACACGCTGCCCTCGACGTCGGCGAGGTAAAACGCCTCGGGTCCCGTCCCCGTCGCGTGCGGCAGCGTCCGCGGCGCGACGCGCTTCCACTCGTACCACAGCGCGGTCGTCCCCGTGTTGACGATGGTCGTCGTCGCGCGCGAGACGCCGCCGACGACGATCGTGCTCGTCGTGCATCGATCCGACGAGAGGTGCGCGTGCGGGCCGAGGAGGGAGAGACGCAGCGCCTCCGCCGCCGCCGCCTCAGGGTAGTTGTCCATACAAGCGAATGTCGGGGTGGAGTTGAAAGGCGTCAAAAGCGGAGTTGAAAGGCGTCGAGGTGTGTCGGGATTGAAAGCGTGGGACCCTGGGCGGAGAGAATCGCCGGGAGAGAAAGTCCTTAAGGATCGGCGTTCACCCCGCCGACGCGGTCGTACGGGGACCAGCGTGAAGGAGAACGCACCTCCGCCTCGAGCTTCAGCGCCTCGTTGTGCTCGCGCGCCGCCTCGTCCGCGCGGAACTTTTGTATCGTCGCCCACGTCTCCACGCTATCGATTGCGATCTGTTCCTCGAGGTCGTCGAGCGTGATCGGGGCTTTGGAGATGCCGAGCATGCGGGCGCGGACGCCCTCGCCGACGACTTCGAAAAAGTCGACGTCTTCGCCGCGATCCCCCGGGAGGATGGCGTCCACGCGCTTCTTCAGGCGGCGCTTCCGAACCTCCATGAAATCGGAGTCCAGCGCGGGTCTCCCTTTCGCTCTGGAGTAGGACACGCCGTGCTCGGGGTTGAACCTCCGACGCACCTGCGTCGTGTCCACGACGGACATCTCGTCGCGAGAGATCCATAACCCGCTGAGGGTCGTTCCATACGAGCGAACGTCGGGGTGGAGTTGAAAGGCGTCAGTTGGCGTTGAAAGGCGTCGAGGGCGGGGATTGAAACCGAGGAGTGGGCGGAGAGATGCGCCGGGCAAAGTCCTTAAGGATCGGCGTTCACCACGCGGACGCGGTCGTATCGGGACCAGTGTATAGAACGCGCCTGAAGATGTTCCCGACGGGGTAGTACCGCATGTAATTGTTCTTCAGAGACATGCGCCACTCCCAATGGCACCCGCCCTCGCGCTCGTGGATCGGGACCGCCATGTCGTGATGCGCGAACACCTCGTTCTTCCGTCGCCACTCGTCGCAGCGCGCCATCGCGATGTCGCCCACAGATTTCCCGTGCGCCGCCGCGTGCGCGCGCATGAGTTTTTCCCAGCTCTCGCGTTGACGCTCCCACTGATTCAACGCGTTCTCCTGAGCGATGTTAGTCATCTTCACGTGGAGCTCCCACCCGACGTCCTCCTTGCTCTTCTGCGCGAGCTCGGCAGCCTCCGCGACGCGCGCGTTTTCGAGCTGGTTCGCGAAGTTCGCCGCCTCCCGTCGTCTCTCGGTGAGGACGCGAAACGCTCTCTGGTAATGCCGAACGAATTTCCCCCCATTCACGTCGCGCGCCGCGCGGTCCAGGTGCGGCGGCAGCTCCGGCAGCGCCTCCGGCGTCGGCGGCATCTCCAGCTTCGCCTGCTCGATCTTCTTCTGCAGCGTCCGCTCGTACTCCCCGACGTCGCCGAGGACGGCCCATTCCCTGCGCTTCCCGGACCTCGCGTCCGGCCTCGGCCCCCCCGGCGCGATCGCGCGCGCGGTCGCGGGCTCGGGCGGTGGGCTCGGCGACCGCGCGCGTTCGTCCGCGCGGGTCTTCGGGCCCCCTCGCGAGCTCGCCGCGGACGCGGACGTCGTCGCGTCGAACCCGCGCGTGAAGTCGAACGCGTGCCGAGGCGTGCTCGCGAGGGAAGACCCGCGCGAGATGGTCGACCTCGGCGCGCCGCTCGACGCCGCGCGCCCGCTCTGGAAGAGATGATGATGATGAAGATGATGCCCGCCCGCGTCGCGGGCGTCCGCGGTGCCCCCCAGGGCGTCGCTCTTCGTCGCGCTCGACTTGAGCTTCCGCACGAGGATCTTGCGCTTCGGCGCCGCGGTGCTGCCCGCTTCGGACGGCGTCGCGGCGCGCGACCGCGACTGCGCTTGCTCCAGCGCGGTCATCTCCGCGGCGACGCGCGCGGCGCAATGAGAAGACGCGCGACGTTGCGTTGCTCCCCCTCGTCGTCGCGACCGCGGTTGACTGACTCTCGACGACCGGGGGGGGTCGCCGTGACCCAAAACGGGCAACTCAGTGTACACGGGCAAACAGTCAGGTCAGCGCGCTCGTGTACTGTACGAAAAACTACTTTTCGGATCGAAAAAAAATAGCCCTAAGGTTACGCACATCCACGAGGAGACGCGAATTTTATGAACGACTAAAGCCGTCGCGTGAGATAGATACTGTACTACTGTACGTAAGTTTTATATATACAAAAGGACGCGCTCTGCTGGGTACGAGTACAGCACGCGCGCGCGGCAGGTCGAGGGAAACGAATTTCCCGCCGCGGACCCGCCGCGCGCGTGACGCGTGACCGACCGCACGCAGAGCGCGTCGTCGAGGCGCGAATTAATCCATCCACCCGCGAACGCGAGTATAAACACAGTGACCCCCCCCCCCCCCAATGGTCCCGGAGCCGTTCTCCCGGTTTTAGTCGTCGAGGTCGTACACGTCCAGGATCCACACCAAGATGATGCTGTACGCGACGTAGAACCCGTAGATGACGAAGAAAACCTTCCCGTGCCAAATCTCAAGCTTAAACTTGTTGAAGAAGATGGCGCTGTAATACAACACGAGAACGCCGGCGAGTATCAGCGACGACGGCACGAGCTCATTCGTGTTCACCTCGATGTAGTTCTTGTTCTGCCAGGACAGATACAACAGCCACGGAAGCCCTAAACCGAGCCAGATGTCGAAGACGTTAGACCCGACGGCGTTCGCGACGGCCATGTCCGCGAGACCGTCCTTCGCGACGGAGATGGAAGACAACGCGTCCGGGATGGAGGTCCCCGCCGCGAGCACCGTCGTTCCCATGACGACGTTCGGGATGTTCAAGACGCAGCCGATGACGACGCACCACTCAATCATCCAGTGCGTGATGAAACCGATCCATCCGATGGACATAAAAAAGGACATGATGTAATACTTTCGGTACTTTTCTTCGCCGCACGGAGGGATCGTTCCGGCGAAGCACGCGTACCACGGGAACGAGAGGAACCACAGCGGCCAGTCCTTCTTCTCCTCCGGGACTTTCCACCACGGGGCGTCATCCTCCTCGTCGCCGTCGTCCTTGTCCTTCCCCTCCTCGAGGTTCAGCGCCTCGCGGACGTCCTTCTTCTTCTTCGCCTCGAGCATCGCCGCGACTTTTTTCATCTCTTTGCGATACGCGCGGATGTGCCCCGGGGACATATACGGCGTGACCGTGACGTCCGTGCCGTCGTCTTGCTTGACGATCGCGATCTTCTTCCTCCACTTCTCCGCGTTCTCCTTGCGCTGCTGCTTGATCAGGTCGAGGACGACGTCCGCGATGGACGTCTTGGGCTGGGCCACGACGACGGACGTTCGCACTTTACCCCAGAGCGCCGCGCTCGTCCGCGGCTTCGCCGCCGCCGCCGCGGACTTCTTCGCCGCGACCGCGGCGACAGCCTGCGCCTCCTCATCTTTCTTCGCCGCTTCCACGAATTCGCTCCCGTCGCGCACGGAGTTCTCCTTCGAGCGCGGCAACGTCTGCGCCTCGACGTCGGCTTCTTCGACTTCAATCTCGGACGCGTCGGCGGCGGCGGCGGAAACCGGCGCGGCGCCGTCGGTCGATTCAACCACCGCGCCGGGGCCGTGCGAGGACGGTTCCTTGCTCGACTGCGCCTTCTCCGCGAGTGCCGCGGCTTTCTTCTCCTTCATGGAGATCTGCTTGAACTCCTTCTCCGGCTGCATCCACTTCCCGCCCACCTTGTCCATCCACTTCATGAGGTGTTTGTTGTACTTCATGGTGACGATGTAGGTTCCGTAGAAGCAGACGTAGATGCCGCCCTCCCACCAGTTAACGACGCCGCCGGCGAACGTGCCGACGATGCCCGCGATCGCGGCGGCGTAGAAGAAGCAATCTCTCGTGACCGGCTTCCAGTCGAGCTGTAACGCCGCCCCCGTCGCCATCACCGTGGCGCCGATGATGATGAGGATGTTAAAGATCGCCGAGCCCACGATCGTGCCGACGCCAATTTCGCTCCCGGCGTTCGGGTTGATCAGAGACATCGTGGACGACGCGAGCTCGGGGGCGGAGGAGCCCGCGGCCATGAACGTCGCGCCCGCGACGTCGTCGCTGAGGTCCAAGACTTCGCAGATCACTTCGAGCGCAGGGACGAAGAAGTCGTCGCAGACGATGGCGATGCCCAAGAACATGTAAAACATTCCGATGAAATACAAGACGACGCCGCCGTTATCTTCCCAGTCTTCGGTGGAGCACGTGCTGCTGCTCAGCAGTCTCCTCGCCGTCGTGGACGAGGACCCGAGGCCGGTGATCGCGGAGAGAGACGCGCGCTCGCCGTCTGAGGGCCGTTCCATACAAGCGAATGTCGGAGTGGAGTTCAAAGGCGTCAGTTGGCGTTGAAAGGCGTCGTGGGCGGGGATTGAAAGCGAGGTGTGGGCGGAGAGAGACGACGGCAAAAGTCCTTAAGGATCGGCGTTCACCACGCGAACGCGGTCGTATGGGGACCAGTGTATAGAACGCGCCTGAGGCGAAGTCGAAGGACGGCGTCCAATCTTTTCGCCCGAAAAAACTCTTCGAGCCGCCGCCGTAATAGTACGTCGACACGCACGACACCGCCGCGGCGAGGAGCATGAGTCCTTGCCTGCGACGTCGCGTTCGCGGGGTGGGTGGGAGGGTGGGTGGGAGGGAGGGGTGAGGATCGCGGGAGGCGGGCGGGCGGGCGGCGCTAGTCGATCGATCGTCTAAATTCGATTCTCGCGACGCTGGGCTGGGTTATGGTGGTTTTCTTCTGGGGACGACGGCAACCATGCCGCATCGACGGACGGGGGCTCGCGCGCTCGCCGCGGCGCGTCGCGTCGACGAGGCCGCGCGAGGGGAGATCGCGTCGCGGTGTTCTTCGCGCACCGTTGACGGAGCTTATCTTTGTAAGACAGCTTCGCGCGCGCCGCGCGGACGCGGCGGATCATGGAGGGCAACATCACGAGGGAATTTAGCGCGCGTCGCGCCCCGCCCCGCGCGCCCGAAATTCACGCCGCGCCCGTCGCGCGTCGTCTCCTCCCCGTCGATTCCGTTCCGTCCCGGAGCGGCGCGTTCGCGTCTCGAGACCTACGCGCGCGACGGAGCGAAAGTATCGACCGCGCTGGGATGGATCCCGCGCGTCGTGGAGTGGCGCGCGCGCGGCGCGAGAGCCCCGACGCTTCCCGGGAGCCGGGACCGGGTGGGAGGGGGGGTTCGGCAAAAGAGAGCGAGCAACGGCTCCCCCTACTACGCGCGCATGGGCAATCAGTCCGAAACGTGTCATCGCAAAGTAACAGAATCGTGCTCGGACATTCCCTTGTTTTCCGAACCTAACGAGCTGCCGGGAAGGGTCTGGTTACAATAGCCGCATAATTTCACGTGTATTGGTTTTCCGCTTCTTTCACGTTCACGACGCCAGCTCTAGCACGTTCCTCCTATCCTCTCCTCCAATCACGCCGGCCCGCCGCCGCGCGCGACCTCCCTCCCTACTACGAATCACGTCACGCCACGTCACGACGTTCCTTCCTTCCACCAGCCGATCGCGTCGACTACTCACTGAAACTTGTTCTGTATCAACCGGTGGACGTGGCACAAAAACTCGACGTAACTCATCCCGGCGGCGCTCCGATCCTCGATCAACCGCTGGTAAAACGAATGCTCGCCGATATCCCCTCGCCGGTATATCCGCGTCCGCATGTACGACGACCGCATCTTCCGCATGCAGTTCACCATCTCGTTAACCGACGCGTTTGAGGCATTTTCTATCCGCGGGATGTGCGCCGTCGTCGACGCGATGTGGTCCGCGTGATCCACCCCAAAGACGTCCCTCAGCAACGGCGCGGACGCCTGCTTACCGACCCACACGCTCATCTCTCTTCCGTCCTCGAGGAGATAAATCCCATCTTGCTCGAGTTTTTCCCCGGAGAGCCACGTCGTCTTCGGCAGCGGCGGGAACCTCGGCGGCGACTCCCCCGGCGTCGCCGCGATCGGCAATCGATGAATCGGGAAATTTCGCGGGTACACCGACGGCACCGCCGCCGCCGCCGTCGCGCACGCGCCGAGGAGTAACCACGTCGCGCGGTCGTCCGCGCTCGCGTCTGATCGCAAACCCAACGACTTGTGCAACCCGAGGGTGTACAGAGGCAGCACCTTGAGACCTTCCGGTAAGATCAGCTGCCCGGTGCTGTTGTTCGTGGCGCAAAATTTTCGATACGCGTAGAGGGTGTTCACCGTCGCGTTGAGCGAGAGCTCCCGCGCCGCGAGCAGCGAGCAGTTCCCCGCGAGAAGCTTCGCGGAGCTCCGCCGAATGAGGTCCAGCGTCTGCGCCTCGAGGTCGCTCGCGCGGAAGACGTTCCCGAGCGTGCTCGTCACCGGCAGCGCCATCGTGTGCACGCGGATGCGTCGCTCGCCGTCCGTCGTCGTGTACAGAAGCGCACACTGCACGCACGCCTCGCTCCCGTCCACGAGCTTGTCTTCGTACCGCAACGACACGCAGATCGCCTTGTCGCAGTCGATCGCGGGGAGGTCCACGTCCGTGGTCGTTCGCTTGCAGTAGAAGCCGTCGTAATCGATCACGCCGAGGCCGTTCGACGCGCGCACGCGCATCACCGCCTCCATACCTTGCGGCCTCAGGGTCGTTCCATACAAAGCGACGTCGGGGTGGAGTTCAAAGGCGTCAGTTGGAGTTGAAAGGCGCCGAGGGCGGGTATTGAAAGCGAGGTGTGGGCGGAGAGACACGCCGGCAAAGTCCTTAAGGATCGGCGTTCACCACGCCGACGGGGTCGTATGGGAACCACTGTGTAGAACGCACCTCAAGACGTTCCACCGCAGGTCGTTGTGGAGCTGCGCGAAATCCAGCGTGGTGTTGAAGTTGGGATAGCGATACAGCGACCCGCCGGTGACTCGCGGTAACACCCCCAACGACGCGACGTCGACGTACCCGTTCGTGAGGAGGAAGAGGTCGATCGCGACCTGGTACTCCGCGGCTTCCACCGCGAGCTTCATGTAACACTTATCCCCGGGCGCGAGGTACTTGGCGGCGTCCTTGTCGGATTCGTTGTTGAAACCGCCGCCGCCGCCGCCGCCGCCGCCCGCGGTGCTCCCCTGGTTCACCGGCCCGCGCGGTTTCAACGCGCCCATCCCACCGGTGGGCAGCGACGCGATGAACGCGAGGACGCGCCCGCCGATCGGTTTGAGCGCTTCCACGCACGCTTTCACCGCGGCGGCGCTGCACGGCGCCCCGCGTCGGCCGTTTTCCATCGGGTCGCAAAACATCTTCGGCAGCTGCTTCAACACGCCGTCGATCGCGTCGCGGTTCGGCCCGAGCGGCACCGCGAGCCCGTCCGGCACGGGCGCGTACGGCTCGTCCACGTCCGGCACGACGAGCATCCGCGGCGCCCCGCTCGCGCCTCCCTGCGCGATGTGATAAAAATGCGCCGCCGCGTCGAAGGTGCACAATCCGACTAACGTTCGATCCGGGTTCGGTACCGTGTCTAGCGTCCGCGCGATCGCCTCGATCGCGGACGTCGTCGCGCCCGTCTCCACCGCGCGCGGCGAGACGTCGACGCAGAAGAAGAGCGCGGGGGACATCGGCGCTCGAACCATGTACTCCGGCGGCGCGACGTACTCTACGCTGCCCTTGCACAACTCCGGACGCTCGGACCAGTCCGATCTGCGTCCGTCCGCGCCCAACGCGCAGCCGTACTCGCGCGGGCACTCGCCGGCGAACCCGCAAAAGTTGCACGCGAATCGCGAGTGGTCGAGCCAGCGCATGAACGGGTTCATGTACGCCTTGCACCGCCCGCACCGCACCGGTCCGCACTCGCCGTTGTCCACCACCTGTATCGGCGCCTCCTCCGCGTGCGGCAGCGCGAGCGGCTGCACGACGATCGTGAGCGGCATCCCCGACGACGCCAACAACTCCGACGTGTTCGGTATCGTGCTCATCGTCGATCGCATGTACCGCGGGTTGCAGCACCCCGCGTCGCGCGCGATGAACGTGGTGTTCGCGCTCGGCGGGTGCGTCGCCGTGCCGTGCGTCGTCCGCGTGTCGTGTTTGACGACGTCCGCGTGGTCGTCGTGCGGCGGCCGCGGGATCTGCGCCGGGTCGATCCTCTGGGACGACGACGACGACGACGACGCGGGCCCGGGCGGCGCGACGCCCACGCCGGGGCGCGCGGGGGGCGGGACCATCGACCCGCCGGGCCCGCCGATGGGGGGACCCGTCGGCGGCGGCCCGGGGATCCCCGCGGGGGGCGGACGACCGGGGTACGTACCGTGTTGTCGTTGGTGTTGCTGCGGGTATTGTTGGTATTGGGGCGGCGCCATTCCCATTCCCATTCCCGGCGGCGTGCCTCCCGGGACCGGGACCGCGCCCGCTCCCGGCGGCGGCCCGGGGCCAGCGCCGCGCTGCTGCTGCGTCGGCGGCGGCGGCATCGGCGCTCCCGGGCCGCGCGGAGGGCCCGCTCCCGGCGGCGCCCCCATCTGCGGCGGCGCGCCCGCTCCCGGCGGCGCCCCCATCTGCGGCGGCGCGCCCGCTCCCGGCGGTGCCCCCATCTGCGGCGCGCCCATCGGCGGCGCCCCCATCGGCGGCGGCGCCCCCATCGGCGGCGGCGCCCCCATCATCGGCGGCGCGCCCATCGGCGGCGGTCCTTTCATCGTCGTCGTCGTCGTCGGCGGCGCCCCCACGCTCATCGCGTTGAACGCCGCGGTCGGCGGCGCGTACGCCGTCGGCGGCGCGTACGCCGTCGGCGGCGTCCCCGGCGGCGGGAACTGCGGGTACATCGCCTTACCGGGAGGGCCCGCCCCGGCCCCCGGCGGGGGACGCGTCGTCGTCTGCGTCGTCGGTCCCGCGGGCGGAACCGGTCCTCCTCCTGGCGGACGGACGGGGAGACGGGCGGCGCGGAGGGTCAGCGGCGACGATCGCATCGCGCGGGGAGGACGAGGAAGGCGGGGCGAGGGTCGTCGATCGACGAGCGCTCGGAGGCGGGGCGATCGAACGATCGCGCGGATCTGGCGGGTAATAATCCCGACGCGACCGTCGTCGTGCGCGCGACGAACCGCGCGACGATCGGTCGACCGATCTCGCGCGAACGCCGGCGCGAGACGGACGCGAGGGCGCGCGCGCGCACCTGGATACGTCATCGGCGGTCCACCAGGGGGTGCGCCGTTCGGCGGGCGGTACGCGGGCGGCGGCTGCATCGCGCCGTCGCGTCGCGCGGACTGACCGACGCTTCGACGCCCCCGCGGCTTCGCGCGTCGCTTTTTCTCGCATCATCAAACAGAACTCAACACCGATCAGCGGCGGGGCGCGAACGACAACGAACGAAGACGCGATTCCGGATTTCTTCCGCGACGGACCTCCGTCTGTTACACCCCCGTCGATCTACGTCCTAACGCGCTACGTACCCCTAAACCGAAACCCACCCCGCCTTCGTAACCCCCTACACAGCCCCGTTACACGACAGACAAACCCCCGCCACGCCACGCGTCACTCTCTCATTTTTCGTTGATATCCCGCGTGTACCTGTCGTTCGCGTTTGCCGCCGCCGCCTTCTCGAGGTTCTCCTTCATGTCCGCCTCGAAGTATCGCATCCCCACGCCGACGTCCCGATACTTTTCGTGCATCATTCGCAGGTCCTTCGAGACGCTCCTCCTCGCGGCTTTGATGCTGCCGTCGCTGCGGTAGTCGCCGTCGCGTCGCGCGGCGCCGCCGTCGCCGTACACCGCTGTTATCAGGAAGGGGGCGTTCGGCGCGACGCGACGTCGGGGCGGGCGGAGTTGAAAGGCGTCAGACGGAGTTGAAAGGCGTCATAGGGTCGGGTATTGAAAGCGAGGGACCCTGGGCGGAGAGAACCGACGCCGGGAAAAGAAAGTCCTTAAGAAACGGCGTGCACCGCGCCGACGCGGTCGTGTGGGGACCAGTGTGAGGAGAACGTGCCTTTTATTCGCACCGGGCCGTGCGCCGCCAACGCGCCCTCCTCGTCGTTTTGATCCATCAGCGCCTGTCGGGACGGGGTGTGATTGGTGGGTGATGTGGCGGGAAGTGATGTGATTGGTTAGTTAATTTATGACGTGGACATTTCATTGGACGAGAGCGACGCAGAGGGCGCCGGGAAAAGTCCTCAAGGAACGGCGTTCACGACGCGAACGCGGTCGCGTGGTCGTACGGGGACCGGCGCGACGAGAGACGAGACGGGACGCGCCTTGGCCTGGGCGCGTCTTCGTGCGCGGCGGTAGCCGACCTCGACCGCCATGCTGTGCTTCGTTCGCACCGTGTGCCCGCGGAACGAGGCCTGGATCATCGTCGCGGCGGCCTCCTCCTCCTCCTCCTCCTGCGCGGAGGGATCGACGCGAGAGGGGAGGGGAGGGATCGTCGGAGGTGGAACGCGGCGCGGATCATGGTGTTGTTGTTATCCTTCCGCGCGAGGGAACGAACGAGGATCGGGAACGAAGACGCGCGCGGGAAGGGGAGCGCACCTCGCATAATGTGCCGCCGCCGCACCTGTGGGCCGCGCGGGGGAGAGACGAGAGGGCGGAGCGGAGGGATCGACGTCAGGGAGCGTCGCGAGGGATCGAGGAGGGTGGGGGCGGCGACGGGGGATCGGAGCGACGCGTGCATTTATTTCTGCGTCGTCCGGCGACGACGACGAGGTCGACCGCTCGCGTTCGTTCGTTCGTTCGTCCGCCGCGCACCCGAATATCGCCCCGCACGTCCACGCTTCGAACCACCCCTTGGGCTCTTTATGCGCTTCCCTCCGCCGCTGCGAACGCGCTCGCTCCATCGTGGTTCGCACGCCCGCACCCGGCAGCCCGGCGCGCGCGAACCCAGTGAAGACGAACAATTGCGCAATGCGAGAGTTCGAGCATTGCGGGCGGAGAAGGGCGAACATCTTATTTAATCATTTACACGGTCCGCCGCTCCTCGATGCGATATAAAACATGCGTGAAATTTTAATCGATGGACTTCTTCTGCGCCTTCGCGAAGAAGCTCTTCTGCTTCTTCGGCGTGCCTTTCGTCCCCGGCGCGGGCGCGTTCATCGACCCGGTCAGGACGCCCATGATGAGCGGCTGTAAAAAGAGAAAAAACACACAATGGACTCAGACGGTCGGCCCGGCGACGCGAACAGAGAGAGACGACGCGCGTCTCGAGCGCCGAAACGAAGAAATCGGGTTCAGGGTTCGGCCGCGAAGTCCTCGAGTCCTCTGTGAGAACCGCGAGGAGGCACCGCGCGAAGGAACGAGAGCGACGTGTGTATGGGGAACGGTCGCGGCGCGCGCCTGCAGCTTCGTCATCAAAAACTCCGTCGCCTTCGCGCTGTACACGCTGAGGGTCGTTCCATACAAAGCGATGTCGGGGTGGAGTTGAAAGGCGTCAGAAGTGTAGTTGAAAGGCGTCGAGGGCGGGTATTGAAACCGTGGGATGGGCGGAGAGACACGCCGGGAAAAGTCCTTAAGGATCGGCGTTCACCACGCCGACGCGGTCGTATGGGGACCAGTGTATAGAACGCGCCTGACGCTCGCTAACCCTTTCGACTTCAACCCGTTCGCTCGCTGGTCGATCAACGGCTCGTTCCGTACGAGGAACGGCCCGACGTACGTCTCGTAGATGAACAGCGCGCCCTGGGTCTTCGTGTGCCAGAGATACACGACGAAGAAGCACTTCGCCTCGTCGTAGAGCGGAAACCAACCGATGAGGATGTCCGGTATGAAGAACAGGGACGTGCAGATGCCGTAGACCATCCAGTACACGAGCCACTTCTTCACGGAGTCGGGCTTGGCTTTGAACTTCGCGAGCGCCTGATGGAGGGTAGGGTGGACGATGGATGGACGGACGGAGCGGAGCGGGGTGGAAGAGGAAGGAGGGGCGCGTCAGGAGGCGACGGACGGGACGGGGGCGCGAACGCGAATCGATCGGAAAAAAAAAGATTACAGCGCGCGCGCGTTTGAACGCCCGTCCGGGGGAATCGTCCGCGCGCCTTGAAGCTGCGGTAGCCGGGGTACACGCTCCCTAAGATCAGGAGCGCGAGCTTCGCGAGAGGACCGAACATGACGCTGGGTCGCGGTGTGATTCGTTCGCGGCGCGGGAGTCGCGCGCGATCTAGTGCCGGGGGATGGCCCCGGGATCGGTCACGAACCTTTTCGCGCGGGAAAAAAAAAATCCACGCGCGTTCATCACTTCGGTTCGGTTGGAGAAAAAATCGTCTCTGTTTCAATACGAAGCCTTCGTCGTCGCGGCGTTCTCTTCATCACCATCTCCATCTCACTTCTTCTTCTTCGTCATTCTCTGCCAAAACGACGCCTTCTTCTTCGCGTTCGCGACCGCCGCGATGTCGGACGGCGCCCCGTTCGCTTTCGACGCTTTGTACGCCGCCGTTTCCTCCGCCGCCGCCGCCGCGATCTCGCCGCCGCCGCCGCCGCCGCCCGCCGCGTCCCCGGCCGCCGCGCCCTTTTTCCGCTTTGTGTCCTTATTCTCCGCCGCCTTCGCCGCCTCCTCGCGCAGCTTCTTGTTCTTCTTCTCCAAGACGACGGCGTCCTGTAACGCCAAGTTCACGCACGTTTCTCTTTGCTCCGGCGTAAACTTCCGAAACCCGTTCTCCAACGCCGTCGCGTCGTCGCGCCGGCTCGCGTTCGCGATCTCGATCACGCCCATCAAACCGACCGTCGCGAGCGGCATCAGCGCTTTCCGATCGCACGGCAGGTCGTTCGACTTCATCCACACCGCGAGGGCTTTCATGCGCGCGTACGTCCCGCCCGTCGACGTCCCGACCTCCTCCCCCCCGCCGCCTCGAACATCGCCGCTCTTCTTACTCCCTCCTCCTCCTTTCCCTTTCTTTTCCCACGCCCACTCCGGGACGGTCTCCCCCGCGCGTTGCAGCGCCTGGATCGCGTACGGCTTCCATATATCCCGCGCGTGGACGTCCACGTCGCAGGAGATGAGCATCCCTCGTATCAGCGCGACGACGCGAATCATCATGAACACCTCCTCCGGAATCGTCCGGATGTTCACCGCGCGCATCTCCGCCGGAAGATCCGCGTCCAAAGGCGACACGTGCGCTTCCTCGATGTCCATCCGCGTGTCGAACAGGATGTACAACACCGTGAGCGCGAAGTCCGGGGACGCGTTCGTGAGTCGTAAGCCCAGGGTTTCCGCGTGTGCGAGCGCGTCGTCTCGCGCGCCGCACGCCAACGCGAGCGTGAGCTTCGCGAGGGTGATTCGCGTCTCGTCCGACAGCACCTTAGGGTCGAGGGTCCATTCGAAGCGACGAATGTCGGGGTGGAGTTGAAAGGCGTCAGAAGCGGAGTTGAAAGGCGTCGAGGTGTGTAGGGATTGAAAGCGAGGGGCGCGCGGAGAGAACCGACGCCGGGAAAAGAAAGTCCTCAAGGATCGGCGTTCACCGCGCCGACGCGGTCGTATGGGGACCAGTGTAAATAATATGAACGCGCCTTACACTGCCCAAAGTCGATGAGCGACAGCGTCTTCCCGTCCGGCGACAGCAGCAAATTCCCGGGGTGCGGGTCCGAGTGGAACGTCCCAATCTCAAAGATCTGCACGCCGAAGGTTTCCACGAGCTTCGTCAGCACCCTCGACGCGTCGACGGCGGCGCCCGACGGTGAGGTCTTCATCGCCGCCGCCGCGGCTTCGCTGTGCCCCGCGCGCGTGCTCAGCCCGTTCGCGTTCAGCGCACGCTGAATGACGTCCGCGAGGGACTCGCCCTCGACGAAGCTCATCGTCAGGACGCGCTTGCTCGACATCGCCTCGAACGCGGCGGGGCACCGGACGTCCGGCACCGCGCGCGTCACCGCGCCGCCGATTCTCGTCAGCATATCGCGTTCCCTCTCGAAATCAAACTCCAACGGGACTTGGTTTCTGTACTCTCGCAGAATAGACGTGTGGTCGAACGGGAGGTGGATCTTCATTCGGTCCATCGCATTCGACACGAACAGCATGTTCGCCATGTCCATCGTCATCAGAGCCTCCGACCCCGGGTTTTGAACCTTGACGGCGACTTTCGTTCTCTTGCCGTCTCTACGAGTCGTTCCATACGAGCGAACGTCGGGGTGGAGTTGAAAGGCGTCAGGGGTGGTGTTGAAAGGCGCCGAGGTGTGTCGGGATTGAAAGCGAGGGACCCTGGGCGGAGAGATGCGCCGGGAGAGAAAGTCCTTAAGGATCGGCGTTCACCACGCCGACGCGGTCGTATGGGGACCAGTGTGAGGAGAACGCGCCTAAGAGTCGCCGCGTGCACTTGCGCGATGGTCGCGCTCGCGATCGGTTTCTGTTGGAACGTGAAGAACGTCGAGGTCACGCTCGACCCCAAGTCTTCCTCCACGATCTTCGCGATCTCCGCGAACGGCACGGGCGGGCACTCGTCGAAGACGCCCTTCAGCGCGCTCACGTACTGCGGCGGCAAGAGGTCGCTCTTTGTCGCGAACACTTGGCCGACTTTGAGGTAAAACCCGCCCAGGTCGTGGATCATGTCCGCGACGCGCGATGCGCCCCACGCGTGCTTCGCGTCCCACGCGTCTTGGATCTCGTCCTCGGACGCGCCGGTCGCGGCGAGGCGCTTGGAGTCGATCAGGAGGCATTTGAGGTATCCCGCGATCACCGGAAACAGGTGCCCGTAGAATCGCAGCGTTCGGAGCACCCCCGGCGCGGCGACCGAGAGGACGCTCGGCGCGACGCGCACGACGACGAGAGGCGCGAGCATCCTCGGAACGAAGGCGGGCAGCGGCAGCGGCGTCGCCGGCGGCGAGATGACCTTGATCCCGCCGATCGAGACGCCTCCGGAGACCACCGCGAGGACGCTCAACGCGTCGCGTTCGCGCCGACCGCGGAACGTCTTCACCGCGAGCACGACCGCGAGCGGGAGCGCGCCGTTCACCGCGCCGAACGTCACCTTCGACGCCGCGCCGAGGAGCGCGGCGGCGAACCCGAGCGGCAGGGGGAGAGACTTGGCGCGGTTCGAGTTCGATCGCGCGCGCGCGCGAGGCGGCGCGATCGCGCCGTCGCCTCCGCGCACGTTTCCTCGACGTCCGCCTCCGTCGTCGCCATCGCGCGACGCCGACGCCGACGCCGACGCCGACGCCTTCTTCGCCTTCTTCGCGTCGTCCGCCTTCTTCTGCCGCTTCGCGGCGTCGTCGGAATGATGCTTGGAGTCCGACGCCGCGTTCGCGATGGACGCCTCGAGCTTCACGCGCCACGCCGGAGGAGGCGCGGGCGCGGGATGGCCGAACCCGCCCCTTCGCAGATCCCTCCGCTGCTTCTTCGCGGTCGGGGCGGACATGGCTGCTGGCTGGTCGCTCCCGCGGACGGCGACGCGCGCGCGACCCGAGACGACGCCACGCCGAGCGAGCGGCGGCGGCGGCGGCGGCGGCGCGGTGGCGTGCGCGCGCGCGTGCGGCGGGCGACTCGTCCGTCTGCTCGCGCGCGATCGATGTGCGACGACGCGACGCAACGATTCGATCTGCATCAACACAGCTGTGTTGTTGGGCCGTCGAACGCGCGGCGAGTTTTTCACTGAGTTTTTGAGTTTTTGGAAAAAAATAATGGATGGCGTGTGTGTATTAAACGCTCTGCACGGAGGACGTCTTCTTCGTCGAGGACCCTCCCCCTCCGCTCGCGCTCGCGTCGACGCCGCCGAGACGCGAAGACGTCGGCGCGCGCGCTCGGGTGGGCGCGTCGGCGACGGGCTTCACGTTCGAAGTCGAAGTCGACGTCGACGTCGCCGCCGTCGCCGCGGTCGCCGCGGTCGCCGCCGCCGCCGCCGACGACGACCCCGGCGCCTTCCCCGCCGCGGGAGCCGTCGAAGACGACTTCGAAGACGCCGCCTTCTTCGTCGCGCCCGTCGTCGACGACGAGGAGGTCGTCGACTTCGTCGTCGACTTCGTCGTCGACTTCGTCGTCGCGGTCGCGGTCGTCGTCGCCGCCGCGGGCGCGGGCGCGGGCGCCACGTCGACAATCTCGCTCGGCGCCGCGTCGTTCTTGTGCTCCTTCTTCACCGCGCTCTCCGCGTACGACTCCGCGTCGATCTCCGGGAAGTCCTTCATCATCGCGGCGTCGTTCACGACCGGCGAGGGCGCGGGCGCGTCCGACGGCGGCGTCGCCGCGAGCGCGACGGACCCGACGACCGCGACCGCTTTCGAGGACGCCGCCGCCGCCGCCGACGTCGACGGCGGCGGCGGCTCGGCGACCGCGACCGGCGCGGGGGGGACCGTCGCCATCGTCGTCGTGGTCGTGGTCGCGGGCGCGGGCGCGGGCGCGGGCGCGGGCGCGGCGTCGACTTCGGTCGACGACGACTTCGCGACGCCCGCCGGCGCGGGCGCCGCGGGCGCCGCCGCCGCCTTCGCCTTCGTCGTCGCCGTCGCAACCTTCTCGGTCAGCTTCTCCGCGATGGACACCCCGCCCACCCCGGCGCCCGCGCGCGTCCTCTTCACGTCCGGGACGGGCGGGTACGACGCGCCGGGCGGGTTCGTCCACACCGGGATCTCGCGACCCGATCGCTTCGTCGTCGCGGCGACGGCGGGGGACGGCGCCGGCGCGTCGTCGTCCTCGTCGTCCTTCGTCCGCGCCTTCGTCCGATCCGCGGGCGCGGGCGCGGGCGTCTCGGTATCGGTATCGGTCTCGGTCTCGTCCGTCTCCTTCGCGCGCGCGTCTCCGAACCCGGAGCCGCGCGACGTCGACGCAAGCAGGCTCGGGCTCGGGCTCGGGCTCTCGCCGTCGCCGTCCTCCGTCGTCGTCGTCGTCGTCGTCGTCGTCGTCGTCTCGGTCGCCGCCGCCGTCGTCGTCGGCGCGAAGCCCGTCAGAGGCGCGTCCGGGGGCGCGTCCTCGTCGTCGGGCGCGTCCTCGATCGTCGCCTCGGACGTGGCGGTGTTCTTCCCGCTCGGAGGCGCCTCCGCCGCCGGCTCCGCGTCGTCGTCGTCGTACGACGGCGCTCTCGTCGCGTCCGTCGCCTTCTTCGGGCCGTTCTATACAAGCGAAAGTCGGGGTGGAGTTGAAAGGCGTCAGTGGGAGTTGAAAGGCGCCGATGGCGGGGATTGAAAGCGTGGGGTGGGCGGAGAGATGCGCCGGGCAAAGTCCTTAAGGATCGGCGTTCACCACGCCAACGCGGTCGTATGGGAACCAGTGTATAGAACGCACCTTCGTCTTCATCGCGTTCGAGTCGGCGATCGGATCGATCGGAGGGAGGTCCTCCTCCGCCGCGCTCGCGCTCGTCGTCGACGCCTCGATCGGCGGCGTCTCCATGGGGGGCGTCTCCGGCAGCGGGACGTGCCCGGCCGCGTTGCTGTGCGAGCCTTGGTCGTACGCGGCGTCGGCGTCGGCGTCGGCGGCGGCGTTGGCGGCGGTCGAATCGAATCGCGCGGACGTCGAGGATGAGACTGCGCTCGGGAGCCACTCTTCCCCGGCGTCGTCGTCGCCGCCGTCGCGGTCGCCGCCGCCGAAGAACCCGCCGGCACCCGCGGCGTAGTACGCGACGACGCCGATCACCGCGGCCGCGGCGCAGAGCTTCGCGTATCGCTTCGCCCTCGCGCGCGCGCTCGGCGGCTTCCTCGATCCGAACGCTTGCATCGGCCGACCCCCGGCGTGTCCTCTCGCGCCGAGGACGCCGCCGTCCGAGGACGCGACGCCCGCGCCGCCGAGCGGCGACGACGCGCGCGGCTTGTTCGACGCCAGCGGCGGGTTCGACGACGTCGTGGAAGGGCCGGGGGTCCAGTCGTCGTCGTCGCCCCAGTCGCTGGACACGACCGAGTCGCCGCGCGCGTGGTGCGACGGGAGGGGACCGTCGCTCGTCGTCGCCATCGTATTCTCGCGTCCGATCGAACGACGCGATCGATCCGCGCGCGATGCGATGCGACGCCTCCCTCCTCCTCCTCCTCCTCCGTTCGGAGAAGACCGAGCGCGACGAGACGGCCGCCGCGATTCGATTCGATTCGATTCGATTCGATCGTCGCGAAGGGACGCGATCGATCGAGCGGGGGGGACGCTCTCGCGCACGCGCGTGTGACGACGAACGACGACGCCGCGGGCCGCGGCCTTCCGGTCGGACGGTGGGCGTGCGGCAAGCGCTCAGCCACTCGCGTCGCGCCGCGCGCTAGCTACAGCTACCTGACCGATACCGTGAGGCTCGGGAGGAGGGACCGTCGCGATGTCGTCGCGCGACTCGCACTCTCGACCGCGCCGCCGCGTCGCGCCGCGCCGTCATGAGGTGCGCCGCGGTCGCGAACGCGCGATGGGCGACGCCGCCGACGCGCGCGTCGGCGGCGCCGCGCGCGGTGCGCCGCGCGCGCGCGTCGTCGTCGTCGTCGTCGTCGTCGTCGTCGTCGTCGTCGCGAATACCGACGACGACGCGACGACGCGTCGTCGCGTCCGCGAACGACGACGACGCCGACGCCGGCGCGGAGAAGAAGAAGAAGCCCGCGACGAGCGTCACCACCGCGGCGGACACGATGTCCGCGCTGGACGCCCTCCTCGGCGCGGCGGAAGAGACGCCAACTGATGAAGACGATCCTCCTCCTCCTCCTCCGTCGACAAAAATAACCATCGACGCGACGAAACCCGGCGCGCGATCGTCGCCGTCGCCGTCCCCGTTCGCGTCCGCGCTCACGGAGGCGCCGTCGACGCCGTCCGCCTCCGAGCCGGACTACGACCCGGACTTCGACCCGCTCGGGTTGGGGCCGCGATGGGACGTGCCGTGGGGGTGGCCGACGACGTTGGGGACGCTGTTCCTCGTCGACGCGATGTTTTACGTCAGGTGCGCGCGACGCGGCGTTGGATGATTTACGGACGCCCCGCCCGCCGCCCGCCGCCCGCGCGTCCACGCGTCCACGCGTCGACTCGCGATCGTACACTCCGCGTTCTTATTCGCTGCACGCCGCCATGTCATCGAATCCGATCACGAACTGACCAATCCAATCGCGTCTTCCCGCATTTCCCCCGTCGTCAGCGGCGCGCTGGCGCCCGCGCTCGTGTACTCCGCGGCGAGAGACCCGCTCGAGATGCCGTTGGACTCCGAGAGGGAGTTCGCGTACGATTTCGGTCTCGTCATGGACGACCCCGCGAACTTCAGCGACGTCATCGTCCTCGCGGAGGTCATCCAGTGCGTCGCGACGTTTGCGATACTCGCCGCGGTGACGGCCCCGAAGCGGCCGCTGCCGCCCGGGTGGTTTCAATTTTCCGTCACGGGTGACAAAAACAACGCGGCGGAGGACGTCGAGGGCAAGGTTGTCGCGAGGGAAGAGAAGAAGAAGAAGAGAGGAAATGGTTTATTAGGGGGTATGATGTGGGGTAATCTTCTCGAGCGCGGCGGCGGTTTGGACGACGGCGAGGAAGAGAGAGGGGCGGGGACGGACGCCACCGCCGCCGCGGAGAAAGAGAGGAGCGTCTCTTCGTCGCGAGCGAAGAAGAACAAAGCCGTCGCGGCGCAGAAGAAACGAAGCGCCGAGTGGCTCGGGGAAGCCGGGAACTCCGTCCTCATCGTCTGGCTCGCCGTGCTCGGGATAACGGCTCTTTCTTATGCGTTAGGTTTACGCGGCGACGACGTCGGCAGCGAAGGCGGCGGCGTCATCGAGAAGGCGTTTAAAGCCGGCCCGCGGGGCGCGTGGTCGATTTTCCTCACCACCGTGGTCCTCGCGCCCATCATCGAGGAGACCGTCTTCCGAGGGTTCCTCCTGCCGTCGCTGACCAAGTACATGCCGACGTGGAACGCGCTCGCGGTGACGACCGTCGTGTTCGCCCTCGTGCACGACCACAACACCGGGGACACGTTACAGCTCCTGTGCGTCGGCGCGGTGGCGGGGTCGGTGTACTGTCGGACGCGGAACCTCGCGGCGAGCGTCCTTGTGCACGCGTCGTTCAACTTGGGCGTCTTGTTCTTGTTCTCCGCCTGGACGAACAGCGGTTGACGCGCGTAGACTGTAGTTTCTATTGTAGTTTCCTCTTTGTTTTTGTATCTCTCTTCATCATCGTGACACACAATAAATAGCACCTTCCTCATGCGTTCGTTGGTCTATTTTATACACGCGCCGCCGCCGCCGCCGCCGCCTAGAACAGCAACGGAACCTTCTTCGCGGCTTGCTCCTTCTTCGCTTCAAACTCCGCGGCGCTCATCTTCGGTGGCGCGCTCGCCGCGGGCGCCACCTCCGTCGGGATATCGTCGTCGATCTCCGGGGCCTTCGTCGCCGACTGCTGCTGCTGCTTCGCGTGCTTTTGCCCCGCCGCGTCGTCGTCCGAGTCCGAGTCGTTTTCCGCCATCGCGAGAATCTTTGACTTTTTCTTCTTCGCCCCCGTCGCGCCCACCGCCGCCATCGGCGGCTTCGGCTTCGGCGGCGCCTTCCTCGGCCCGCCGACGCCTCCCGTCTCGATCCACCCGTACGCCTTCCCGCCGTCGATCGGCCCCCACACCCTCTTCGGCGCTTCCACGACCACCTCCTCCTCCGGGTCCTCGTCCAGCTTAATCTTTTTCGTCTTCGGGTCGAGGGTCCGTTCGAAGCGACGAACGTCGGGGTGGAGTTGAAAGGCGTCAGAAGCGGAGTTGAAAGGCAGGCGTCGCGGTGTGTCGGGATTGAAAGCGAGGGGGGGGCGCGTAGAGATGCGCCGGGAGAGAAAGTCCTCGAGGAACGGCGTTCACCACGCCGACGCGGTCGTACGGGGACCGGTGTAAACGTGAACGCGCCTTGAACTGCAGCACCGCGCGGTCCCTCCCGCCGGCGCTGAACAGTCGCGCGTCGTCCGAGCTAAACCGCGCGCACATCGTGTGGCTCGCGTGGCCCTTATACTCCCGGTACGGCGCGTCGTTGAACACGCACGGGTAGTTGAACAGCTTCACCTTACCGAAGTCGTCCGCGGTGACGCAGTATCCGGCGCCGTCGAGGCCGTTGGCGCCCTCCGCGACTCTCACGAGCGGAATCTTCTTCTTCTTGTCTTGAAACGCGCGACCGCACTGCGCGACGTCCACGGCGTTGACGTCCGTGCCGTCGCTGCCGTCCTCCCACACGCCCATGACCGGGAACCCGATCCTGTTCGTCCACGTCGCCCACCTCGTATCTCTCTGCGACGCGAGGACTTGTTTTCCGGTTAACGGGTCCCAGTACAAAATCTCAGGGTCGTTCCATACAAAGCGATGGCGGGGTGGAGTTGAAAGGCGTCAGTTGAAGGTGAAAGGCGTCCAGGGCGGGTATTCAAAGCGAGGGGTGGGCGGAGAGATGCGCCGGCAAAAGTCCTTAAGGATCGGCGTTCACCACGCCAACGCGGTCGTATGGGGACCAGTGTATAGAACGCACCTCATACGACGCGCACGACGTCTGGAGCACTCGGCGATTCTCGACGCCGTGCAGCGTCATCGGCAGCGACCAGTCCAGGTGATTGATCGACGCCTGGTGGCCTTGGCACCGAGACAGGTGCACGTACCCGCGCTCGACGTCGTACACGTCCACGCACAGGTCGTGCGACCCGACCGCGAGCATCGGTCTGGGGCCCTGGCAGTACTTCAGGTCGGACACCTCCTTCGCCGACTCCTTCAGCTTGGCCAACGGCTGCAACGTCACCGCGTCGATGATCGCCACGTTGCCAAACTTCCCGCCGATCGCGAGGTGATGCCCCGCGGGGATCTCCACCGGCGCGTTCGGGTTCGGGACGTCGTACTGACCAGGCTTCGGCTTCGGTTTCGGTTTCGCCGGGGGGGTCCATCCCGGGAAGTACACCGCCGACGCCGGCACGGGGTCCACGGAGAAGGCGACCGACCGCCCCACGACGCCCGTGGGCGCGGTTCGGACCATGTTCCGCTCGGCCGCGTTCCACAGGTACACGCGGTCCGCCGCGGAAGCGGTCGCGAACACGTTCGGGTCCCTCGGGTGCGTCGCGACGGCGTATAAATCCGCCATGTGGCCGTAGACTTGTACGCTCACCGTCGGTCGCTTCGCGCCCGGTTTGTATTCTATCTCCCAAACCTCGCATCGGTTCGTGCCGAAGACGAACTCCATCGGGAGCTCGTCCCCGGGCTTCGCCGGGGGGCGGCAGTCCAGCGCTCGAATCGCGGGCGGGCCCTCGCCGCGGTACGGGCTCGTGATCTGGAACGAGTGCGGCCCGTTCTTCTGCGTCGCATTTTTCGCGAGACGTCTCAAGACGACGGCGACCTTGGGCCGTTCCATACGAGCGAACGTCGGGGTGGAGTTCATAGGCGTCAGAAGCGGAGTTGAAAGGCGTCGAGGGCGGGGAAAGAAAGCGAGGGGTGATGGGCGGAGAGAATCGCCGGGAGAGAAAGTCCTTAAGGATCGGCGTTCACCACGCCGACGGGGTCGTATGGGGACCAGTGTGAGATAGAACGCGCCTTCTTCTCCACCCCGGGCTTCCCCGGGCCGTCCGTCCTCGGCCGACCCGCGACGGCGACGAGCCCGTCGGAGACTTCCCACGTGTGAATCCACCCGTCCGCGCCCGCGGTGAGCAGCGTGTCGCCGTCCGCGCGGAGGCACAGCCCGCGGATGCCGCCGTAGGTTGTGGTGCCGTCGTTCAGGTTGATCCTCGCGCCGACGCCGTGCGCGTCGGACACGCGTTGGATCAAGTTGACGTTCCACTCCGCCACGAGCTCGGGGCTCACGCGCGGGTCCACCGGGTTATTACTCGCGTCCTGGTGCGTCACGAGCCAGATCCCGAGCGCGCCGAGCGGGTGCCCGGTGACGATGACGTTGTACCGGACGTATTCCGCGGACACGATGGACTCGCCGCCGATTTGCGATTGCGACGACGGTTTGTTCATCGATCCCGAGCCGCTCTCCCCCTCCGCCGCGGCGGAGCCCTTGACGCCGCCGAACGTGCCCTTGGGCTTGAGCTTCGCCGCCGCCGCCGCCGCCGCCGGGTTTGAACCTGAAACGTTTCCCTTTCCAACCTTCGTCAGCGCCGTCATCGACGCGCTGAGCGGCGCCTTCGACGCGACGCCGCCGCCGGAGCTCGCCGCCGCCGGCGCGGATCCGCCGTTCGCCGCGGAGTAATCCCCGACCCTCGTTCCGTCGTTCCGCAAACCCATCTCCCCCGTCCACGACCCGCTCGGCAGCGGCCGCCACAGCTTGATGTGCTTCGCGCCGTACGTCACGAACTCGCGCATCCCCGGGAACGGGTTCCACACCGCGCCGTACACCATCGGGGGTAAGCCGTTGATTCCCGGTCCTTCCGCGACGAGCTGCGTGGGTGAAGCGATCGGTCAGTCGAATGTCTTACCGGTCAAACGTTGAAAGGGAAGCGCGGGTGAAGAGTGACGACGGGAAAAGTCCTTAAGGAACGGCGTGCACCACGCGAACGGGGTCGTATGGGAAGCAGTCTCACCTCGTACGTCCCGTCGCCGCTCTTGTATCCCTCCGAGTCAAAGTTGGGCGGAAGCTTGCTCAGCGCGGCTTCGTCGTCCGCGGGCGCGCGCGAGTCCGGCGTCGGCTCGCCCGCGCCCTTGTGCGCTTGCATCGCTTTCGAGACGGCGGCGGTCGCGGGCAGTTTCTTCGACGACCGGCCGCCGGCGCCGGCGCCGCCGGATTCCTCGTAAAATTCTAAGGGTCGTTCCATACAAAAATAGTTCATCGGTCAGTTGAAAGGGGACGCGATCAAATGTTGAAACCGGGCGATGGGTGAAAAACTTTTGTATAGAACGCACCTAACCCGTCCACGCGTTTCGCCGGGCCGAAGCACCACCCGGGGACCTCCACCGCGTTGTCCATCACCGCGTCGTCGCCGTGTTTGGTCCAGTTCCACACCATGACCGTGTGCCCGTTGTCGCTGTTCACCGCGGTGAGGTATTCTCCGCCGTCGGACATGCTGAACCCGACGGCGATGACCCCGCGCATGCCCGCGGGGTGAACTATCTTTTGAAGCTGCCGCATGGAGATGGCGTCCCACACGCACACGTACGGCCGACGACCGAGCTGCCCGGTCGCGACCCACTCGCGGTTGGGGTGAATCGCGAGGCACTTGATGTCGTCGTCGTGCCCGAAGAAGAATCGTTGGCACTGCGTCTTCTTTTCGAGCTTATCCTTATCCAGCACGACGCCCACGGCGGCGGTGTAATAGACCACCTCTCCGGTGGTGAGATAGAACAAATTCGGGGCGTTGTTCTCCAACCCGGCGTAGCCGTACACGTGCTCCAGCGCGAGCTCCGCGTCCGGGGCTTTCGACGACCGCACGACGTGCTCCGGGTCGAACTCGTTCGGGGGAAAAACCCCGCCGCGGCACTTCGGGTACTGAGGGTCGTTCCATCATTCAAAGCGACGTCGGGGTGGAGTTCAAAGGCGTCAGAAGCGGAGTTGAAAGGCGTCGAGGGCGGGGATTGAAAGCGAAGGGTGGGTGGAGAGATGCGACGGGCGAAGTCCTTAAGGATCGGCGTTCACCACGCCAACGCGGTCGTATGGGGACCAGTGTGAGATAGAACGCGCCTGAATCTTCCCGTCGTGCTGGTAGTCGTCGCCCAGTTCGAACCCGTGCCGCCCGAGGTCCTTCGCGTCCAGTATGTGCTCCATCCCGAGCAGGCGCGACGGCGACGCGAGCAGCGCTTGGATGAAAACCTCGTACGGCATGTACCCGTCGCGATCGTACCCGTACTTGACGAACACCGCGGCCGCCGCGGACTGGGATATCGGGTCAAAGTTGAAGTGCGGGAGGCCGTCTTCGTCGAAGTACTTCACCGGGACGAGGTCAATCTTTTCAAACTTGTCGTCCCTCGGCCTTTGCTTCTCCGCTTTCAGTTCGATCCCCAACGACTTCACGGAGCTCGTGAGCTTCTTCACCGGCGACGACGCCGCCTTGGACGCGGTCGCGGTTGAAGCGCTCTTGGCGTCTCCCGGGCCCTTCGCGTTCTCTTTCGCGGCGGCGGCGGCGGCCGCGTTCGGGTCCTTCGCGCGGCGCCCCGCGATCGGCTTCTTGCCCACCATCTTCGTCGGCGAACTCGTCATCGTCGGCCCCGGCTCCATCGACCGCGAGGCGTCCGCGTCCGCGGTCTCCGCGGCGGCGACGGCGTTCGCGAGGACGGTCGGCACGACGATCTGCGGGCCGTTCCATCGTTCAAAGCGACGAATGTCGGGGTGGAGTTGAAAGGCGTCAGGGGTAGAGTTGAAAGGCATCGCGTAGGCGTGTCGGGATTGAAACCGTGGGGTGGGCGGAGAGAGACGCGCGCGGGCGAAGTCCTTAAGGATCGGCGTGCACCACGCGAACGCGGTCGTATGGGGACCAGTGCGAGATAGAACGCGCCTCCGTCGGCTTCGGCGTCGACGCGATCGACGCCACGCTCGCGGGCCCGGCGAACTCGTTCTTCTCGTTTTCGTTCTCGTCGTCGTCCGCGTCGTCCGGCTCCGGCGGCGCGCTGCCCCACGCCTGGAGAAACATCGCGAGGTCGCAGTCGCCCGTGAAGCGCCCGTGGCGATTCTTGTCCACCCGTTGGAACACGCGCATGAGGAAATCTTTCTCCGTGTAGCACGGCGATAACGCCTTCTTGTTCTCCGCGGCGACGACGCGCGCGAGGGATTCGCGCATGCGCGCCTCGAGCGCGACGACCGCGCGTCGGACGCACCGCTCCGGATCTTTCTTCCAAACCTCGGGTTTGTCCCCGGTCCACGGGCCCTTCGTCGTGTCGTACGGGTCCCGGTCTAAGGGCCATTCCATACGAGCGAACGTCGGGGTGGAGTTGAAAGGCGTCAGAAGCGGAGTTGAAAGGCGTCGAGGGCGGGGATTGAAACCGAGGGGTGGGCGGAGAGATGCGCCGGGCAAAGTCCTTAAGGAACGGCGTTCACCACGCCAACGCGGTCGTATGGGGACCAGTGTATAGAACGCGCCTAATCCCTTCACGAGCGCGACTATGTGTTCGTACGGCGGCAGCTTCGCGATCGCCCGCACGCGCTCCTCGTGCCCCATGTGCGAGTGCGGACTCTCCAACGCCTTCCGCAGGTCGTTCAGTTTCATCTGCGCGGGCCCCAAGGACGCGGAGACGGACAGCCCCGCGGAGACGGAGGCTCGGACGAGCGATTTACTAAACACGCCCGCGTTGGCGCCGCCCGGGCGAGCGCCCCCCTTTGCAATCTCCATCGGGTCGCCCTCGTTGTACGGCACGCCGTGCTTGCTCGTGCTCCAGAACGGAGGCAAGTCGCTCGTCTTCGCAGGGTTCTCGCGGCCGTGGTACCCCGCCTCGTTCGCGCGTTTCTTCTCCGCGGCTCGTAACAACGCCGCGCGGTTCGTGGGGAGCCCGGAGCTGCTGCCTCGCGAGGCGTTCAGCGCGCCGCCGCTGGCCCCCCGTCTGGACGCGTTCATGCCGCCGCCGCTGCCGCTGCCGGCGCCGCCCTTGGACGTCATCGTGTCGTTCGGCCCGGAACCCATCGCGGCCGCGCGGTCAACTCGCTGACGCTTCCGGATGCGATCTCTTCGTTGGCACCGACGGCACCGACGCGCGCGCGATGGACGCGTCGCCGGGTGGCCGCGCGTGCGCGTGCGAGCCCGATATGCGCGGTCGGTCGCGGCGCGCGTATCGGGCGTGTCGTGCAGACGATGGATGCGACGCGGAAGTCACGCGCGCGACGGCGGTTCGTGCGCGCCGACGTGTGCGCGCGGGGGGCGCAACGAGATTCTACTAGCCGTTCGCAGAGTTGACTGCTAAACTTCCAGCTGCGGTGCGTTCTAGCTTGAAAAGGCGTTTTTCACTCATCCCTCGGGTTCAATAATATGATATTTGATCGCGACCCCTGTCAACTGACCGATGTTTTTTTTTGGCTCCCGTCATCGCGGCTTCATCAGCGCCGGATGCTCGAGCGCTTCCGCGAGCGTCATCCGTCGCTCCGGGTCCCACTCCGTGAGCCCCACCACTAGATCCCACGCCCCCACCTTCTCGAGCAGGCTGAAATCGCACGACTCCCCGCCCGGCGCCCTCGCCCACGCGTCCAACACGCTCTCCGTCTCGGCGTCCTGAGGGTCGTTCCATACAAAAATATGTAGTTCATCGGTCAGTTGAAAGGGACCCACGCGATCAAGTGTTGAAACCGAGCTATGCTATGGGTGAAAAACGTTTGTATAGAACGCACCTGACCGGCGTCCGCGCGCTCTTTCGCCGCCTCCATCGCCGCTCGCGCGCGCTTGACCGCCCCCGGCGCGTGCAACGACGGCACCCCGAGCCGTAAGAGGCACATCCCGATCCCGAACGCGTCGAACCCGGGGTGAGGGACGACCCCGGTCGCGGTGAGCGTGCCCTCGCCGGGGCGGCCGCCGCGGCCGAAGAGACCGCCGACGGTGAAGCCGCCGCCGCCGCCGCCGACGCGTTCGAACTGCTCCGGCGCGCCTGCGCGAAGGGTTAGGGTTAGGGTTAGGGTTAGGGTTAGGGTTAGGGTTAGGGTTAGGGGTAGGGGTAGGGGTAGGGGTAGGGTTTGATGCCGGGACGAGCGCGCGCGCGCGGCGGACCGCCGCGAAACCGAAGAAAATCAATCACGCACCGTACACCGGGTCGAATATCGCTTCGCGGCCGTCGCACCCTTGTCCCGTCTCGAAGTCCGCGGCGCCGCCGAGGTCGCACAGCGCGAGCACGGCGTCGTCGTCGCTCACGTTCGCGGAGGTGATAACCGACGTCAGCAGGACGTTATCCGGCTTCACGTCGCGGTGCACGACCCCGCGTTCGTGCATCGCGATCGCGGCTTCGCACAGCCCCGCGGCGATCGCGCGAAAGGTCTCGGCGTCGTCGCGCCCGCCGCGGCCTCCTGTGTGGGTGAAGTGATCGGTCAGTCGAACGTCTTAGCGGTCAAACGTTGAAAGGGAAGCGCGGGTGAAGAGTGACGACGGGAAAAGTCCTCAAGGAACGGCGTGCACCACGCGAACGGGGTCGTATGGGAAGCAGTCTCACCTCTCCCGTCGCCGATCGCCTCCCTGACGCCCTTCACGCCGCGCCCCGCGTCGAGAACGCTCCCCAACGTCTCGTCGCCGACGTGCTCCCAGACGAGGTACGCGTCCGAGCCCGCGACGCCCGCGAACGGCGCGACGCCGGCGCATCCGACGAGACGCCGGCAGATGTCGCGCTCGTCGCAGTAGAACGAGTACCAGTCCCTCCCTCGCACGCTCTTCTTGTACTCCTTCACGACGACGTCTCGCGGCGAGGCGTCCTCCTCCGTGACGACGCCGCGGTAGACCACCCCGAACGACCCTTCGCCGATCTTCGCGCCCACGGCGAGCGTGGAGAGCGACACCTCGGGCGGGACGAACCCGTCCATCTCTGGGTCGTACGAGCCGACGTCGTAGGAGTACTCCGCGCGCGCGACGTGAGACGAGGCGCGACGCGCGGGGAGAGGAGGCGGCGTCGCGCGGCGCGATGCGACGCGCGGGCGACGCGACGACGACGACGACGACGTCGTCGTCGTCGTCGGCGGCGGCGCGGCGCGGAGAGACGCCATCGCGGTCGTCGCGCGGCGCGGGAAGGAGTGAGCGACCGATCGACGTGGCATCGAGAGTTGCTGATGAGGTGCCATAACCTTAGGATATACAAAAGTTTTTCACCCATCGCCCGGTGTCAACATTTGATAGCGTCCCTTTTCAACTGACCCCTCCCGCGCCTTCAAAGAGCGCGTCCCACTTCCCGAAATCGCTCCCCGGCCCCTCCCCTTCCCTCGTCCCCAAGCAGTACCCCTTCCCGACGCACGCGGCGCTGCTCAGCGCGGCGACCGCGGCGTCCGCGACGACGATGCGCGACGTCTCCTCCGGAAGTAAATCGTCCCCGAGTCGGAGGTCCACCGCGCGTCGAGTCCCGCTGCGATGAGGTGTCGTCGTTTGATTGGTGGGCGACGTGGCGGGAAGTGTTGTGATTGGTTAGCTCTTTTGTGACCCGTGTGGACGTTTCATTGGACGACAGAGAGCGACGAAGAGAAACATACGCCGGGAGAGAAAGTCCTTAAGGATCGGCGTTCACATCGCCGACGCGGTCGTATGGGAAGCAGTCTCATTTCTCTCACCTCGTCGCGCGAAGCACGGTGTTGACGTCGTACGACGTGTACGGACCGTCGGTGAGCCGCCCGGGGCGGAGGATCGTGTACGGGATGCCGCTGTCGACGACCGCCTGCTCGCCCATGGCTTTGAACTTCAACACGCCGAAGAGATTTAGCACGAGGAACGGCATCCGGTCCGTGCGCGTGACGCCTGCGAGGAGAGCGACGGGAGAGAAAGTCCTTAAGGATCGGCGTTCACAGCGCCGACGCGGTCGTATGGGAAGCAGTGTTCGGAGACGACGACGGTCGGAGACGGCCGGAGACGACGCGCGGGAGACCCGCGGCGATTGGTCGACAGACGTGAGAAGATTCGGGAGATGACACGCGTCACATAGGGAATGGTCCACGTCGACGGACGTGACGTACCTATGCTCGAGACGAGCACGATCCGCCGCGCGTTCGGCGACTGCGTCTTCGCCGCCGTCGCGAGGTTCCGTACTGAGGGCCATTCCATACAAAGCGATGTCGGGGTGGAGTTCATAGGCGTCAGATGGAGTTGAAAGGCGTCGAGGGCGGGGATTGAACGCAAGGGATGGGCGGAGAGATGCGCCGGGAAAAGTCCTTAAGGAACGACGTTCACCACGCCGACGCGGTCGTATGGGGACCAGCGTATAGAACGCGCCTGAAACGAAATCCGTCGCCTCCGGTCCGTTCCCATCCCTCCACCGCGCCGAAGGGAACGCGGTCGTTCCCACGCACGACACGATCGCGTCGACGCCGACGCACGCGCCGCTGCGCTCGAGCGCGGCGGCGTCTCGCAAGTCCACGCCGGTGACGACCTCGAACGCGTCGTCGTCGCTCGCGAACGCGTCGGCGAACAGCGCGCGCGCGCTCTCCTCCGAGCGCGCGAGCGCCTTGACGCGAAAGCCGGACTCGAGAAGCTTGGCGACGACGAGCTGCCCGACGCCGCCGGTGCTGCCGACGACGAGGACTTTGGAGCCCTGGAGGGTGGGGTGGGTGTGCGGGGAGGGCGCGCGGCGGGGTCAGGCGTGGACGGAGGACGACCGTACCGACGAGGGAAGCGCTCGCGTCGATCGATCGAACGAGATCGGTGCCGTGTCGCGCGCGCGCCTTCGGGACGATCGCGTCCTCCGCGGACGACGCCGCGGCGGCGACGCGGCGGCGATGGACGGCGCGCGCGGGGCGTTTCGTCGTCTCGCCGCGGATGCGGCCGCGGTGCAGACCGCGCGTGGACGCGACGACGCGGCGCGCCGCGGGGGCGACGGCGGAGGAGGAGGCCATGGCGCTCGACGTTTTGGCCGTGCCGACGAACGAGGGAGCGGAGAGTTCTTTTCCGAAAAAACCAAACCACCGCCGAAAGCAAACGCGGATTCCGCCCGTCGATGAAACGTGACCGGTCGGCTCGGTCAGCGCGCGGGCGAACGCGAGCCAGTCACGACGATTCGACGCCGTGACAACCTGGCACAGCGGTCGGCCGCCGAACCGTCGTCTATCCACTTGGTTCCGACCCCGAGCGCGTCTCGGACTCTCGGTCCGCGTTCGAGGCTCGGTCCGCGTTCGCCGCGACGCGCAGAGCATCGAAGCACCACGCGCGCGCACTCGCCTCGCTTTCGATGTCGGCGTTCGCTACACTCCATCACGTACCCGCTCGAGCGTACAGTGCGTCGCCACACCCACCCCGCGGTTCGACTCGTCGTCGATCGCGCGCGCGCGCGCGCGCGGCGGCGTCCGCGCGCGCCGCGATCGAATGAATCGACGCGCACGTTTGTTTATCCCGCCCGGCGACGCGAGCGAGCGATCGAGCGATCGAGCGAGCGATCGTCGCGCGTCCCTCTCCTCGCCATCGTTCTGACGCCCGCCCGCCCGCCGCGCTCTTCATTTCGTTGTCCCAACAGAGATGTCCAAGCGCGCGAACGACGGGTCCAAGAAGCTCCGCGGCGCGCTCATGACGACGCGCGGCGCCCCCGGCGCGTCCTTTTCCGAGGGCGAGCCCCCCGCGCTCATCTCAACCACCCCGGAGTGGGACGCTCTGAAGCGGCACAAGGAAGAGATCATCGACGGGACGCACCTTCGCGAGCTCCTGAACGACGAGGAGAGGAACGAAGCGCTGACCGCGGAGTACAACGGCGTGTACTGCGACTTCGCGCGCCAGCGCGTCGTGCCCGAGGTGCGCGACGACGAACGAACGAACGATCTGATCCCATCGATACGCGCCCGCGTCGGATCCGAAAGAACTGAAGAGCGCCTTCCTTCTTCTGTGACAATTCCCGCCCGCCCGTCCAACCCCCCGCGCGTCGTCATGTCATGTCATCAAACTCTGACGCCGCGCTCTTCTTCTTCTCTCTTCTTCGCGCGCGCACCCCCCCATTTCAGACGATGGAGAAGCTCTACGACCTCGCCAACGCGGCGGGGCTCAAGGACAAGATCAACGCGATGTTCGAGGGCGAACACATCAACTCCACGGAGGACCGCGCGGTGCTCCACGTCGCCACGCGCGCGCCGCGCGACAAAGTCATCAACGTCGACGGCAAAAACGTCGTCCCGCAAGTCTGGGACGTCCTCGACAAGATCAAGGACTTCACGGACAAGGTGCGCGACGGCGAGTGGGTCGGCGCGACGGGCAAGCCGCTGACCTCCGTCGTCGCCGTCGGCATCGGCGGCTCCTTCCTCGGCCCGCTCTTCGTGCACACGTCGCTTCGCACGTGCCCGGAAGCTGCGGAGGGCGCGCGGGGGAGGCAGCTGCGGTTTCTCGCGAACGTGGACCCGGTCGACGTCGCGCGATCGCTGAACGGGCTGGACCCGGAGACGACGTTGGTGGTCGTGGTCTCCAAGACGTTCACCACGGCTGAGGCGCGTTCTATCTCACGCCGGTCCCCATACGGCCGCGGCGGCGTGGTGCACGCCGATCCTTAAGGACTTTCTTTTGCCGGCGTGTGTTTCTCCCCGCCCAGGGTCCCTCGCGTTCAATCCCGACACACCTACGCGACGCCTTTCAACATCAACTGACGCCTTTGAACTCCACCCCGACGTTCGCTCGTATGGACAATTACCCGTATAGACGATGCTCAACGCGCGCACCGTGAGGACGTGGATCACCGCGTCTCTCGGGAAGGAAGCCGTGAAGAAGCACATGGTCGCCGTCTCCACGAACCTCAAGCTCGTGTCCGAGTTCGGCATAGACCCTGACAACGCGTTCGGGTTCTGGGACTGGGTCGGCGGTCGATACTCCGTGTGCTCCGCCGTCGGCATGCTCCCTCTGTCGCTTCAATACGGCTTCGACACGATGGAAAAATTCCTCGAGGGCGCGTGGAACATCGACGAGCACTTCGCCACCGCGCCCTTCGAGAAGAACCTCCCCGTCACCCTCGGCATGCTGTCCGTGTGGAACGTCTCCTTCCTCGGGTGCTCCGCGCGCGCGATCCTCCCGTACACGCAAGCGCTCGCGAAGCTCGCGCCGCACATCCAGCAGGTTGCGATGGAGAGCAACGGCAAGGGCGTCTCCATCGACGGCAGGCGCGTCCCACGCACTGGTCCCCATACGGCCCCGTTGGCGTGGTGAACGCCGATCCTTTAGGACTTTTCCCGGCGCATCTCTCCGCCCAGGGTCCCTCGCTTTCAATCCCGACACACCTCGGCGCCTTTCAACTCCGCTTCTGACGCCTTTCAACTCCAGACCGCTGCCGTACGACACCGGCGAGATCGACTTTGGCGAGCCCGGGACGAACGGGCAGCACTCGTTCTACCAGCTCATTCACCAGGGCCGGACGATCCCGTGCGATTTCATCGGGATCATCAAGTCGCAGCAGAGCGTCTACCTCAAGGGCGAGATCGTGTCCAACCACGACGAGCTCATGTGCAACTTTTTCGCGCAAGCCGACGCGCTCGCCGTGGGCAAGACTGACGTCGAACTCCGCTCGGAGAACGTCCCGACGTTTCTCATCCCGCACAAGACGTTCACGGGTAACCGACCGAGCCTCTCGATCATGCTTCCGGCGTTGAACGCGTACAGCACCGGTCAACTTCTGGCCATCTACGAACACAGAGTCGCCGTGCAAGGATTCGTGTGGGGTTTGAACTCGTTCGATCAGTGGGGCGTCGAGCTCGGAAAAGTGCTCGCGTCCAAGGTTCGCGTGTCGATGTCGCAGAAGCGGACGACCGGGGAGTTGGAAGGGTCGAGCGACGGGTTCAACTCGAGCACGACCGCGATGTTGAACCGGTACTTGAAAGGGAAGGCGCAGCTTAAGTACGCGGAGGCGGAGGACGTCTTCCCGTGCGATCTCATCGACAGCGACGAGTGCCGGCCGCCGACGTCCTACGTCTGAGCGGGCGGGTGACGCGCGCGCCGCGCGCGGTCTCGTCTAGTCTATCACGCGATGGACGACGACGACCGACGCGCGGGGTTGGTGCGGGGTTGATTTGATTTCATTCATCTGATTTGATTTGAGGAGGAGGGGGAGTGAATTGAGGTAATATCGAGACGCGCGCGGCGGAGGATGGGAGCGCCGCGAGAAATTAATTACATTTTTCGCCGCCTCGTCGTCGCGTCGGGGTCCGTCGCTCCGGGGACGCTCCGCGGGTTCGGTTCGTTCGCGCGGAAGGAAGGAAGGAAGGAAGCGCGGGGACGAGAGGACGAGAAAGTGGACGCGTCGCGGGGCTGTACTAGTACAAGTTTACTTTGTGACGAAGTGATTGATGCTCTTTATTCCGTCGCGGAGCGCTCGCCCCCGCCCTCCTCGCCGACGAAAGTTCCCGCCCTTCCAAAGACTGATGATCCGATCCAGATCCGATCGGGCGTGGATGCGACCGATATTTCTCTGCTGTCGACGATAACAACAGACGGAACCGTCTTCGCGCGCCCTCGACGCACTCTCGCCCGCGCCGGTCACCGCTCTTCCGCGCGCGTCGTCACCCGAGAAGACGGCCGATGACGGCCGCGGCGTCGTCGCGCGTCGCGGTCTCCTCCCCCCCGCGCGTCGCCGCGCGCGTCGGGGCGGGTCGAAGATCGCCGAAGACGTATTCGGAGACACGTCAGCGAGCGCGCCCCGCCGATCCTGCCTTTGATCCCTCGCGCCACCACCGCGGACGGCGCTCGCGCCTCTTCCTGACGATCGCGCGCGCGAACCCGCTTCGATCGTTCGACCCGGAGGAGGTCACGATCGAGGGCCTCGTCCCGCTCGATCAAATCTGCGACGAGTTCGTGTGCAAGAGCTCCCCGGCGGTGGAGGCTTGGCTTCGTCAGATCGCGACGGACGTTTGCGCGCTTCGAGAGAACGCGCGCTCGCTGACGCCGTTCGCGAACGACATCGAGTACGACGACGGCGCGCGCGTTTTCAAAGGGAGGGAGGGGTTCAAGAACCACGCGTTCATCGCGGAGAACATCGGGAACCCGGCCGCGGCGGTGGAGTCGATGCGAATGAACGCGGTGGACGAGGCGGTGATCGAGGCGCGTTCTCATTTATTACACCGACTGGTCCCCGTACGACCGCGTTCGCGCGGTGAACGCCGTTCCTTAAGGACTTTCTCTCCCGGCGTCTCTCTCCGCCCACGCCACGGTCTCAATCCCGACACGCCTCGATGCCTTTGAACTCCACCCCTGACGCCTTTGAACTCCACCCCGACGTCGCGTCGAACGATGGACCCTCGACCCTCAGTGGCGTCTGCGAGGACAAACCCCCGGCGGCGCGCTCGACGCGAAGATCACGTCGACGCTGACGATGAACCTCATCACGGGACGCGCGACGCGATGGACGGAGGCGTGGGACGTCGCGGGCGGGGGATCGGATCCGGGCGCGGCGGCGTTCGTGGCGTCGACGCGGAAGGCTTCGGCGTTGCCGAAGAACGCGGCGGACGCGGCGACCGCCGTGGCGAAAGAATTGGACGACGCGCTCGGGTCAGGTGCGTTCTGTACAATTTTTTTTCACCCAAGCGTCGCTCGGTTTCAACATTTGATCGCGTGGGTCCCTTTCAACTGATGACCGGAGAACTGTTTTTGTATGGAATGGCTCTCAGTCGCCGGGTCGCTCGGTCTCGGCGGGGAAGAGCGGGAGGTGCAGGTTGACCCGAACGACCCGATGAAGTTCTTCACGAACGCGAACGGGCCGAAGGATGATTTTCTTCAGCTCGCGCTGTTCGCGTCGGCGATATACTTGGTCGTCAGACTGCTCCAAGAGACGTCGTCGTTGAACTGAACTGAACCGATCCGACGAACGACGAGTAATACTGTACGACTCGCGCGATTCGATTCGATTCGATTCGATTCGCGTCGTCGGGCGGCGGCGATTACCAAAATACTGTAATAACGCCGGTTTCACTACACTAGTTGTACACTACGCGTACGACGATACGACGGCAAAAGCTTCACTTCTTCGCGGCTTCCTTCGCGGCTTTGTTCGCAGCCTTCGCGACCGCGGCTCTCGCGGCGGCTTCCCTCTTCGCGGCTTCCTTCTTCTCCGCCTTGGCGCGCTCCGCCGCGAGCACGTCCTCGTCCGCGGAGGGGTCGTACGCGGCGGCCGCCGCCTCCGCCGCCGCCTTTGCCGCGCTGCCGCCGCCGTCCTCTCCTTCTACGCGTAACGCCTCATCGGCGGCGGTTTCGAGCGCTTTCAGATCCGCCTCCTCCTGCTCCTTCGCCCGCGCCGCTCTCATCTCTCGCGCCGCTCTTTCGCACGCGGCGTCGAACTTCTCCGCGAAGTGCGCCTCCTCTTCCACCGCGGCGGCGATCTCTTTCGGCGCCTCGGGGAACCCAGCCTCGATCAAATACCCGCGCAGAAGGACATCCTCCGCGTCATCCGCGCGTCGATCGACTTCGACTTCGGCGACCTCGCCGGCGACCACACCCTCGCGGTCGAACGACGCGACGAAGCGCGCGACGCGCGACGCGCGCCGCGCCGCCGCGCGCGCCCTCGCGATCTCAGCCTCCGCGGCGTCCTCGCGCGCGCGTTGCGCCGATGCCGCTTCTCTTTGTTCTCTCTCTTTATTCGCTCGACGCGTCGCGTCCATCTTCGGTGCGCCGCCGCCGCCGTGACCGTGGCCGCCCTTCTTACCGCCCTTCCTCTTCGCCGCCGCCGCCGCCGCCGCCGCCGCCGCCGCCTCCTCCCGCCGCGACGCTTCCTCCTCAGGGCCGTTCTATACGAGCGAACGTCGGGGTGGAGTTGAAAGGCGTCAGTTGAAGGTGAAAGGCGTCCAGGGCGGGTATTCAAAGCGAGGGACCCTGGGCGCAGAGAAACGACGGCAAAAGTCCTTAAGGATCGGCGTTCACCACGCCGACGCGGTCGTACGGGAACCAGTGTGAGATAGAACGCGCCTCTTTTCTTTTCCAAAGCCGCCGGGGATCCATCGCCGCGATCAACTTCCCGATGACCGTGTGCTTCCACCCCTCGACGAACACGACGCCTTCCTCTTTCATGAACGTCTCGAAGTACGCCTCCGGCGGTTCCTTCCCCCATCGCTTCTTATCCGCCTTTTGCGCGGCTTTAAACCTCTGCCTGTAGTACTGCGACCGAACGATGCTTCCGCGGTCGCTCGCCTGGTTCGCGCGCTGATGAGGCGCGTTCCGTACGAAGCGAAGGATGTCGGGGTGGAGTTGAAAGGCGTCAGGGGTGGAGTTGAAAGGCGTCGAGGGCGGATATCGAAAGCAGCGAGGGGTGGGCGGAGAGAGACGCCGGGAGCGAAAGTCCTTAAGGATCGGCGTTCACCGCGCCGACGCGGTCGCACGGGAACCACTGTAATAAATGTGAACGCGCCTGATTCACCGACGCGAAAATCACCGCAAAGGTCGCGAACCCGGTCAGGACGCTCGCGACGGAGACCTTGACGTGCTCCGCGTCGAACACGGACTTTTTACCCCACTTCGGGCGCGCGAACGACGGGAGCATCGCGATCGTGTCGTCGTACTCCGCCCTGCGCTCCGGGTCGGTGAGGACCTCTTTTCCCTCGGCGATGACCTGGAAGAGGAGGACGCGAGCGATTGGTCATTTGATGACGTGGCAGACGAGCGGCCAATAGAAAGACGACGGAAACGTATTGCGGTATCCATGATACGACAACGAAACGGTATCCACCATGAGGCGCGGGCGGCACCTTGAATATCTTCTCCGCGCTCTTCTGCTGCGACTTCGTCAAGTGCCCCAGCTTATCCGGGTGGTACTGCAACGCCAGGCGTCGGTACTTGCTCTTGATCTCCGTCGCGTTCGCGGACTTGGAGACGTTTAACGCGCCGTAGTAGTCCGTTCTCACCCATCTGTGCGACAGACGCGGAGGGGAGAGGGAGGGAGCGGTGAGACGCCGCGGCGGAGCGTCGATCGACGGCGGCAGATCTGATGAGATCCACGCGACGTTCGATTCTTCGCCGCGATCGATCGAGTGGGCACGCGACGGCGACCGCGCGACGCGACGCGACGCGACGCGCGCGGGGGGGGCGTCGCGCGGCGCACCTCACGGCGTCGGACATGTCCGCGGACGCTCGCAACGGCGCGACGCATAGCGCGAGGAGCGCGAGGAGGATCACGCGGAGGTGGGACCTCATGACGTCGCGTCGCGGCGGCGTCGGTCGTTCTGGCGGACGCGACGACGGTTCGAGGCGACAGGAAGTCGTGACTCAAGGCGCTGCGACTGACCTGCTGCTTGTTGGCTGGCGCGAAAACTCAGACTGGAACGCGCGGAGCGGGCGCGCGCGCTCTTTCGGATTTTACCCACTGGCGCTCGTCACCATGGTATCGCTAACGCGTCCGACGGACTATCATAAAGCTCCGCTTCGGTCAGTACTCGATCGTCCCCAAAAACCCGTCCAGGTCGATCCCGGTGAGCTCGGGAGGCAGCCCAGATTTCGCCGGCGCGGCGGCGTCGGCGGCGTCTGCGTTTGCGTTTTCGTTTTCGTTCGCGCTCGCCGCCGCCTCCGGAGGGTCTTCGAACCCGTCGTTCTCCTCGTCCCCCGCGGCGCCCCCCTCGCGCGCGCGTTTCTTACTCGTCGTCGTCGTCGTCGTCACCGGCGCCGGCGGCGGCGGACGCGCCGCGGCGTTCGCTTTCCCCGACGCGCGAAGAAGCGTTCCCGCCGGCGCCGGCGCCGCGTCGTCCGCGCCCTTCCCCTCCGTTCCGCTCGTCGTCGTCGCGCCCGCGCCCGCGTCCCGACCCGCGGTCTCCTCAGCCCCCTCCTTTCCGCCCTCTATCCGCGCCTTGGACGCGGCGGCGAGCGGCGACGGCGTCGCGCTCACCGACCGCCTCCCGCCGCCGCCGCCGGCGCCGGCGCCGCTCAACAAAGGCGCGAACATCCGCCCCAGCTCGTTGTTCTCGTAGTCCTCGAACAGCGAGTCCATGACGTAATCGACGTCGATCTTTCCAAACTGATCGACCGAATCGAGCGCGACGTCGGCGGCGTTCGCGGGCGCGGCCCCTCTCGGCGATGTCCCCCCGATCCCGATCCCGCCGCCGCCGCCGCCGTCCGCGACTCCCTCCGCCTGCATGTGCCCGACGATGAACTCCGCGAGCTTCGCCTGGACTTTCTCGTCGCACAGCTCCCGCGGGAGTTCCCAGCTCCGCCACTGCCCGGACAACGATGAGGCGTCGGAGGCGGGCGTCGGGTCGTCCCCGAGCGACCCGAGGTGATCGGTCGCGCCGCCGCCGCCGCCGCCGCCGCCTCGTCGCTGGTGACCGTTCGCCCACGCTCCGTCGAACGCCGCGCCGAGGTTCCCGTTCCCGCCGCCGGGAGAAGAAGCGGCGCCCCCGCCGGGGCTCCCGAACGACGTCGACGTCGACGCCGCGCTTGGCCCCGGGCCCGGCCCGCCCCCCGCGCCCGCGAACTCGGCGGCGGCGGCGTATCTCCGCGGCGCTGCCCTCGCGTTTTTTCGTCCGCCTCGGCCCTCGCGGCCGCGGCCGGGGCTCCGCGCGGGCGGCGGCGGCATCTTCTCCGCGGCCGTGGGCGTCCGCGCGGCGAGAGAGGAGGCGCGGTCGCGGCGGTCGCCGCCGCCGGGCGGCTGCGCGGGCGTGCGCGTCGCGAGCGTCGCGAGCGTCGCCGCCGTCGCCGAACGTTCTTCGGACGACGGCGTCGCCGCCGCGACGGTCGACGGTCCCGCGCGCTCTTCCGCCGCGCCGTCGTCCCTCATCGCGACGACGTACTCCTCCATCGCGTCGTACATCTTCCTCGCGAGCGCGTTTCGCGCGCACGCGGCGTCGCGCCGCGACTCTCTCTCCGTCAGCTCGACGTACTCGTTGCAGATCTGTGTGGAGTTGAAAGGCGTCAGAAGCGGAGTTGAAAGGCGTCGAGGTCGGGGATTGAAAGCGAGGGACCCTGGGCGGAGAGACGCGCTGGCAAAAGTCCTTAAGAAACGGCGTTCACCACGCGAACGGGGGCGTATGGGGACCAGTGTGAGATAGAACGCACCTCGTCGAGGGCCTTGACGCCGTTCGGGACGCGATTCTTGAACGGCGCGAGGAGCGGTCGCGCTTCCTCTTTGAACAGCGTCAGCGTCTGCGCGACGATGACGATGGGCGCGATGACGCGCGATGGGGTGCGGATGCGATGTGGTGAGGGGCGAGGCGAGCGATGCGGGGTGGACGGAGGGAGGCGGGGAGGCGGGGAGGCGACCGATCGATCCGACGATCGATCGCGACGGGCGGGATTCGAAATCTTCGCTCGTCGTCGTCGCGTCCGAGCGTCGAAGCGCGGGGGGGGGGTGCGGCGCACCGCGTGGAAGCCGTTGGATCGGAGGTAGTTGAACACCAGCGCCGCGGTCTCCGTCCGAGAGACCGGCGCGGCCGCGGCCGCGGCGCCGGACGCTTCCGCGGGCGGCGGCGGCATCGTGACGCGCGCGTTGCGCTCTGGACCGTCGACGACGCGGCGCAGCGCGCGCGAAATCCGAGGTGTTTCGCGCGCGGCAAACTCTCAGGTGCGTTCTATACAAAAGTTTTTCACCCATCGCCCGGTTTCAACGTTTGATCGCGTCCCCTTTCAACTGACCGGTGAACTATTTTTGTATGGAATGGCCCTCAGCTGGCTGCGTCAGCCGACCGCGAAGGATGCGTGACGGCACCAGTCGGCCGCGCACGGGGGCGCGCGCGCGCGGGGCGGATGACGACGTCGACGTCGACGTCGCGTCCCCGCGCGCTCCCCGCGTCCCTGACCGCGCTGATCCCGCCGCCGTCGCGCGCGCTGCCCCGACCCGTGCCGTTCTTGCCCGTGGACAACGACGACGACGACGACGACGACGACGACGACGACGACGACGACGACGGGATCGAGATCCCTTCCTCGTCGTCGTCGCGCCGCGTCGTCGTCGCGCTGAACGCGTGCTTCCGCGAGCTGCTGTCGTGCGACGCACGGACGTTCTGGAGCCACTGCGTGCACGACCGCGCGCTCCGCAAAGCTCTGGACACGTACTTGCAGTTCAGGACGCGCCCGCGCGAGCGGCGGAGTCGGCGACGGCGACGAGACGCGAACGCGAACGACGACGACGACGACGACGACGACGACGACGCGCTCGCGCGTCGAGTCTTCTTCGTCCATCGCCGACTCGCGACGCCGTTGGAGCGCGGGTCGCCGTTCGCGTCGATGACGCGACAGGGCGACGCGCTGCGCGACGCCGGGCTCTTGAACGTCCCGAAGCTTCTCGACCTGTGCGCGCTGTACGGCGAGGGCAACGAGGCGCTGGTGGGCGAGCTGCTGGAGGATGCGTTTCAGGCGCGTCCTCGGAGCATCACACTGGTCCCCATACGACCGCGTTCGCGTTGTGAACTTCATTCCTTAAGGACTTTCTTCTCTCCCGGCGCATCTCTCCGCCGACCCACCCCTCGGTTTCAATCCCTGCCATCGACGCCTTTCAACTCCACCCCTGACGCCTTTCGACTCCGCCCCGACTCCAGATGGCGCCGGCGTTTTTGGACGCGGACGTTCCCGTCGCCGGCGCGGCGATCGCGAAGGTGCGTTCTATACACTGGTTCCCATACGACCGCGTTCGCGTGGTGAACGCCGATCCTTTAGGACTTTGCCCTGAGTGTCTCTCCCCCCACCCCTCGCTTTCAATCCCCGCCCTCGACGACTGCCTTTCAACTCCGCTTCTGACGCCTTTCAACTCCACCCCGACTTCGCTTCGTATGGAACGACCCTAAGAATTTGGAAGAGATGGCGGATAGGCTCGTGCACGCCGCGTTCGAGCGCGAGGGCGGCGTCGACGCGACCGCGAGGAACGACGCGCTGCGGTACTTTTACGACGTCGCGCTGAGCGTGCGCGCGCTCGCGACGGGCGCGCCGGCGACGGCGACGCGACTCGCGAAGTTACGGGTCGTAAATGATGTAAAAGGAGAATCTGAAGGCGCGGGCGGCGGCGGCGGCGGCGCGACGAAGCCCGACGCGTTGCTCGAGGCGCTCGACCGCGTCGCGCACGAGACCGTGCCGCTTCTCTCCGGCGGCGGCGGCGGCGGCGGCGGCGACGACGACGTGGAAGCGTACGCGGCGGCGGTGACGGCGGCGTTGGAGAGTTGCCGCGGGGTTTTGATGCGCCCGCCGCCGCCGCCGCCGCGGATGACGAGGAGGGCGGCAGTGGCGACGACGAGCGAGATCACCGAGGCGATGGACGACGACGACGACGACGACGACGACGACGACGCGGCGCCCTCCCCGGCACCGCGCGCGTCTACCGCCGGCGCGACGATTGCCGGCGCGCGGACGCGAGAGAACGTCGCGCGCGTGAAGATGATTTTTCCCGATCACGGCGACGGATACGTCGCGGCGGCGTTGGCGCACTTCGGCGACGACCCGGACGCGTGCGTCGGCGGCTTGCTCGACGGCGGCGACCTCCCAAACGCGCTGAAATCGCTGCCCACGAGCACGACGTGGGATGAATGGGTTGGGAATCGCGCGGACGCGGACGCGGACGCGAAGGCGAAGGCGGGCGGGAGGGCTGCTAAGGTGCGTCCTATACACTGGTCCCCATACGACCGCGTCGGCGTTATGAACGCCGATCCTTAAGGACTTTGCCCGGCGTGTCTCTCCGCCCACCCCTCGCTTTCAATCCCCGCCCTCGGCGCCTTTCAACTCCACCTGACGCCTTTGAACTCCACCCCGACTTTCGCTCGTATAGAACGGCCCTGATAAGAAAATCGCAAACGCGCTCGACGCCGACGCTGCGGCGTTCGAATTCGACGGCGGCGGGTTCGTTCGTCGGAAAGGCTCCGCGCTCGACGCGTCGACGGCGACCGCGCGCGAGCTCGACCTCGACATCGACCGCGCGTCGGTTCGCGCGACGCGACGGTTCGCGTTCGACGCGGAGTACGAGGACGAGTACGACGACTCGTTCGACGAGCTCGCGGAGGTTCGAGGCGTCGGGAGCGACGCGGGGGCGGCGGAGGGATTCTCCGGCGGCGGCGGCGGCGTCGGGAGGGGCGGCGGGGGGCGGGGCGGGGGCGGTCCGCTCAAGACGTACTGGATCGCGAACGGAAGGGTGTACCACGCCGCGAAGGACGGCGCGACGGAGGTCAAGGCGCGGAGCACGGAGGACGCCGCGGCGATCGCGGCGGCGCAGGCGGCGACGACGCGCGAGGAAGTGCACGGCTTGGGCGCCGGCGGGAATCGCGCGGCGCGGCTCTCCGCGCCGCCGCCGCCGCCGCCGCGGGCGGCGGGGGGAGCGGCGGCGGGGCGCGGCGACCGACCGAAGGCGCACCCGACGCCGGGCGCGGGAGGAGGGGGACGGGGACGTAGCGGTAGCGGCGGCGGCGACGACGGCGGCGGGAGGGGGAGAGGATACAGAGGGCTGACGAAGAAGGACTTCGCGCGTCAACATCACGACCAGCGGGCGTTGGCGACCAAGAAGCTCGGCCGCGGCGGCGGCGGCGCGCCGTAGACGTGCGGTAGATTGATTGACGACGCGTTCTTTCGTTCGCGTTCGCGTTCTCTCGTTCGTATTCGCATTCCTCTTCGTGTTCGCGTTCGTGTTCGTGTCGTGTCGTGTCGTGTCGTGTCGCGCCGGGCGCGTCTGTCTGTTCCCGCGTGGATGGATGGACGTCGACGGATGCGAGCAAACGCCAAACGCCAAACGCCAAGCGCCCGCCGCTCACAGTTTGGCGACGGCGATCTTTTTCCGCGGCGGCGACGCGCGTTCTCTCGCCGCCGCCTCAGGGTCGTTCCATACGAGCGATTGTCGGGGTGGAGTTGAAGGGCGTCAGTTGGCGTTGAAAGGCGCCGAGGGCGGGGATTGAAATCGAGGTGTGGGCGGAGAGAGACGACGGCAAAAGTCCTTAAGGATCGGCGTTCACCTCGCCAACGCGGTCGTATGGGAACCAGTGTATAGAACGCACCTCAGCCTCGCCTTCTTTGGGTCTCCGCTTCGGCACCGTGATCTTCAACACGCCGTGGTCCACCTTGGCGTCGATCGCATCCAACTCCGCGTTGAACGGCAGCGCGTATCGGTTCTCGAACGACCCGAAGTGCCGTTCGCGGCGATGATACGTCCTCTGATGCGGGGCGGCCGCGGTTTCTTCCGCTTTTTTGATTTCGATTTCTTCTTTCTTCTTCTTCGGCGTCGTCGGCGTCTCGACGTCCTCCTCCGTCGTCTCCTCGCGCTTTCCTCTCACGATCAACACGCGATCGCGCTCGTCGACCTCGACCGAGAGGTCCTCGAGCTTGACCCCGGGCACGTCCGCGGTGAACGTCAGCGCCGCGTCGGTCTCGCGCACGTCCATCGCGCTGCGAAGAAGCTCGAACGGCGACGACGACGACGACGACGACGACGACGACGACGCGAGCGCGTCGCCGCCGCCGCCGCCGCTCCACGGCCAGCGGCGCGCGCCGTCGCGCAGCGCTCGGAGCCCGGTCTCGAGTGGGCCGACGTGGACGGATGACGACGCGCCACGTGGACCGGACGACGCGAGGAAGAGCTCGCGCTCGATCTCCGCGAGCGACTCCACGACGTCGGCGAAGGCGTCGCGCGGCGTCGTCGTCGTCGCGGAGGCGGCGTCCTTCTTTTCTCCCTCGGTATCCGCGTCCGCTCCGTCGCGCGTCGTCGTCAGCGCGTGAAGTCCCTCGCGCGCGCGCGCGGCCGCCGCGCGGACGCTCCTCCCCGCGGCCGCGAGCGCGCTCGCCGCGGGGTGGACGTTCGCGCGGTCCGTCGGCGGCATCTCCATCTCGGGCGCGTCGCACGACGCGTGATCGTCCAGACGCCCGAGCGTCGTCGAGCCCGGCGCGGCCGCCGCGCCGCCCCCCAACGGGGACTCGAACGAGCGAAAGAGCCGCAGCGCGGAGGCGGGGCGCGGGATCGCGACGACGACGACGAGGAGGGGGAGGAGGAGGAGGAGGACGGAGGCGGCGCGGGGCGACGCGCGGGGGGTCGACGCCATCGTGCGCGGGCGTGCTGTGTCGCGCGCGAGGGCGAGCGCGAGCGCGTCGTCCAGGAGTCGTCCCGTCGTGGCTTTTTCGGCGGTTCCGAAGACAGCGGAAGGGAGCCTGGCAGAGAGGGCGTCGCATCTCTCCGCGGACTTTTTGCGAAACCAAGTTCTGTGAAGTTTCTATTTCCGTGCTCTCTACTCGCGCGTCATGCCGTCCCACAGAAGCGCGTGAAAGTGGTACATCGCCGCCTCGACCGCGGGAGCGTACCGCCCGACCCCGTACCCCGGGCTTCGAACGCCCTCCTGGACTTTCTCGCACAGCGTCGTGTCCTCTCGTTGTATCCTGTCGGAAGCCGCCAGCGATTTTTCGATAAACGCCTCGGTCGCGCCTTCGACGCCCTTCTCGAGGTAGTACTCGAACACCACCTTGCACGTCTCCGCGCCCGTGGGTATCACCCAGTTCGTGTCCAACCACTTTCCGTACCGGTTCACCATGAAGTTCGGGTGTATGAACGCGTACAGCGCGGCATCGCCGAGGCGGTCGTCGCGGTCCCGGACTCGGGGCCGTTCTATACGAGCGAACGTCGGGGTGGAGTTGAAAGGCGTCAGTTGGCGTTGAAAGGCATCGAGGACGGGGATTGAAAGCGAGGGACCCTGGGCGGAGAGACACGCCGGAAAAATCCTTAAGGAACGGCGTTCACCACGCCAACGCGGTCGTATGGGGACCAGTGTATAGAACGCACCTCGGTCCGTCGCCGCCGCCGCCGCCGCCGTCACGGTTTGCAGCGAATGCAAACCGCGTATCGTCGTCTCGTAGCTCTTCATGCTCACCCCGCTCGCGAGCTCCGGGTGCGCGAACGGCACGTGGTACCCGCCGTCCAGGTAGTTGTCGCAGAACACTTTCCAGTTGCAGTTCAGCTCGTACTCGCGCCGCGCGACGTGCGTCATCTTCGGGGTGGAGTTGAAAGGCGTCAGTTGGCGTTGAAAGGCGTCGAGGACGGGGATTGAAAGCGAGGGGTGGGCGGAGAGACACGCCGGGCAAAGTCCTTAAGGAACGGCGTTCACCACGCGAACGCGGTCGTATGGGGACCAGTGTATAGAACGCACCTCCGCGACGCCGGCGGATCGCATGCGTTCGCCGGCTTCTCCCAGCCACTCGTTCACGGGCGGCGGCGCCGACGCGTCATCACCTCCGAGGTTCACGAACACGAACGGGCCCCACGTGTCCACGCGCAGGGGTTTCAAGCCGTTGTCGGACACGTCGAAGCCCTCGATCCCGGTCAGCCGCGTCGCCTTCGTCAGCGCGCCTTTGTCGTCGTACGTCCACCCGTGATACGGGCACCGAAAACACGTCGCCTTCGATTTCGATTTCGGTTTCGGTTTCGGTTTGGAATCCGAACCGTCGCGGGAGAGACCACCTGGGGGACCCGAATCGTCGCCACCGCACGCGGGGTCATCGCCGGCACTTTGTCTCGAGCACCCCGTCGCGACCTCCATCGCGTGGTGCCTGCACACGTTGTGGAACGCGCGCACGTCGCCGTCGTCGCCGCGGACGACGAGAAACTGAGGGTCGAGGGTCCGCGCGACGCGACGTCAGGGTGGAGTTGAAAGGCGTCAGGCGGAGTTGAAAGGCGCCGAGGGCGGGCGTTGAAAGCGAGGGGTGGGCGGAGAGAGACGCCCGCCGGCCGGGAGATAAAGTCCTTAGTTAAGGAACGGCGTTCAGCACGCGAACGGGGTCGTATGGGGACCAGTGTAAACATGGACGCGCCTTCACGTTCCCGACGGCGCCGGTGAAGTAGTCGCCGACGTCCGACACCTGATCAACGCGACCGACCGCCTGCCACCCCTCCGCGAACACCGCGCGCGCCTCTATCGCGGGGATGATCGCGGCGTCGGTGTACCACGACGACGGCGGCGTGGACGCGGCGGCGACGCCTTTGGACGCGGTCGGCCACGGCTCGAGACCGAGGGAAATCGCGCGCGCGATTTTTTTCGCGTCTTCTTCCTCGTCTTCGGCGGCGGCGGGGACGGCGACGGCGGCGGCGTCCTTCTCGTCCGCCGTCGTCGTCGTCGTCGTCGTCGTCTCCGCGCCGCCGCCGCCGCGGAAGAACGGGCACTTTGATTTCGTCGTAACGCCCGAGTGCACGACGTTATTCACAGCGTCACCATCGCGCGCGGCTTCCTCCGCGGCACCGTCGCCGTCGCCGTCGCCGTCGCCGGCGCGGAGGCGTAAAAACGCTCGCGTCGCGCGTCGCAATCGGTCGCTCCCGAGGCTCTTATACGCGAGCTCGTCCGCGTCGGCGTCGTCCATCGCCCTCCCTAACGCGCTCGCGGTGTCCGCGTCGAGGTCGGACAGCCGGTCCAGATGCGTTCGAACGGTGAATAACACCCAACGCGAGACGTCCCGGGGGTCGTCGTCGTCGTCGTCTCGCGGCCGCAGTCGGCGCACGGTTTCGTACTCGACGCGAAGCCGCATCGAATCGCCGACGGCGGCGGGCGACGACGGCAACGCGGCGAGAGGGTCCATGTACCCCACGTGCAGGCCGTCGTCGAACGCGGCGGCGTCCACGTCAGCACCCTGGCCGGCGGTCTTCGCCGCGGCCGCCGCTCTGTTTGTCGCGCCGCCGATGGCGAGGTTGGTCGGGTGCCACTCGAGGCTCGTGGACACGATCTCGTCTGATGCGGGCGATGCGGTGCGTTCGTGCATCGGTCAGTTGAAAGGGACCCACGCGATCAAATGTTGAACCACGAGGGGTGGGTGAAAAACGAACGCGTGCACAGAACGCACCCGAGTTTTGCAGCGCCCAGTTCGCGCGCCACAGCGGCTTGTCGTGCTTCAGCCCCGCGAATACCCGCGCGACCGCGGCGCGCATCTTCTCTTCGTACCCCGGGACCGGGACGTGGATGTCCCCCAGTGTTTTCCCGCGGCGTTTCGTCGCGTCGAAGCTGAAACACACGACCCCCGCTTCGAAGACGTGTGACGTTTCGAAATCGACCGCGACGTCGCCGCCGTCGCGGACGACGTCCTCCCTCGTCGTCTCCTTCACCAGGCACAGCTCCTCCTGCACCAGCTTCGCCGCGGCGCGAAGCGCGTCCTCGCCCTTCAGCGCGTCCAGCGGGCCGGTGCTCCACCCGTCGAGCTCCGGCACTGACGGTCGAGGGTCCGTACGAGCGAAGGATGTCGGGGCAGAGTCGAAAGGCGTCAGAAGCGGAGTCGAAAGGCGTCGAGGCGCGTCGGGATCGAAAGCGAGGGGTGATGGGCGGACAGAAACGCCCGCCGGGAGAGAAAGTCCTCAAGGAACGGCGTTCACCACGCGAATGGGGTCGTATGGGGACCAGTGTGAGGAGAACGCGCCTGAGACGCCGCCGTCGGGATCTCGTCTGTACCGCCGCGGCTGCCGACGCGTCACCCAATCGCAAACGTCCCGCAACACCGTCTCCGCCGCGCGCGACGCCCCCGACGCGTCGTCCCACGCGACGCACCGCGGCTCCGCGTCTACGAGCGCGTGCTTCTTTCGCATCTCGCGCGTCCAGTCGCGCGAGTCCGAATCTTGCTCCAACCAGTCCGACGCGGCGTCGAGCGGTTTGAGGCCGGTCCCTCGCGTGAGGCCGCGCGAGGCCCACAGGAATCGCCCCGCGGTCGCGACGTTCGCGCGCTCGAACCGCTCGATCGGGAACGGCGACCGGCGCGCGGCGGCGGCGTCGGGAGCGGTCGAGGGGGGCGAAGACGGCGGCGGCGGCGGCGACGACGACGACGCGGGGGCGGTCCGAAGACGATGACGACGACGATATTTCGTCGTTCGAAGAAGACGCGACGGGCGCGGCGTCGCGAACGACGCGCGCGCGCTCGTGGACGCCATCACGCCGCCGCCGCCGCCGCCGCGCGTGGGCGACGGACGACGTCGCGGTCCGCGGGTGGGGAGAGAGAAGTGGTGTGTGTGTGCGCGCGCGCGAGATGTCGACGCGTTCAAAAGGCGCCTGCGCCTTCTCGATCTCGCGCGAAAAAAAAATCCTTCGCGCGAAAAACCAAAGCAGGTCTAAAGCAACGACAGGCTCCTCCCGACCCTCGGGCAGTCGACGCTTCACTCCCCCCCCCGCGCGCGCCGTCGTCGTCGTCGTCGCGGACGCGCCCCGCGATGCCGCGCGTCTCCTCCCTCCTCCTCCTCCTCGTCGTCGTCGGCGTCTCCGTCGCGTCGCTCGCGCGCGCGGACGTGTCGCCGACGACGTCGACGGCGAGACCTCGAGAGCGTGGGGCGCAGAAGACGTCGACCGACGCCGACGCCGACGCCGTCGCCGTCGCCGACGCGTCGCCGTTGTCGCCGTCGTCGTCGACGACGACGACGACGGTCGCGCCGCGCCCTCCGAGGACGACGACCGCGCCGCCAGTGTCGCTCCCTATGATCTTCCCCGCGGACGAAGACGGCGGCGGCGTCGGCGTCGCCGCGCGCTACGCGTCGCACGTTCCGACGCCCGCGGACGAGTTCGCGCTCGACGAGGCGCGTCCTCCTCACACAAGGACTTTATCTCCCGGCGTTCGTCACTCTCCGCTCAGGGTCCTTCGGTTTCGATCCCGACGCGCCTCGACGCCTTTCAACTCCACCCCTGACCCCTTTCAACGCCACCCGCCCCGACGTCGTCGCAGGCCGCCCCCGAGCCGGCGAGTCGGTCGGCCGAAGCCGCCGCCGCGACCGTCGCCCCCGAGCGCAGCACCTGCTGCGCGTATTACGGCTACCCGTTTCCGTACCCGTACGCGTCGTATTACTCGCCGTACTGGCCGAACGAGTACCCGATCTATCCGACGATCGGCGCGGGGTCGCCGCTGTGGTATCCGACGATCGCGCGAGGCGTGAGTGCGCCGGCGTGCCTGCTCGCGGCGCCGCCGGAGTGCGCGTGTTACGGACCTTTTTCCGTCGCGCGGCCGTGGGGGTTTTATTGCGTGTTGACGTCGTCGACTGGGACGTCGTCGCCGCCGCCGCCGCCGCCGCCGCCGCCGTTCCTCGGTCAACCCCCGCCGCCGTTCCTCGGTCAACCCCCGCCGCCGTTCCTCGGTCAACCCTCCCCGCCGAGCCCGCCGCCCGGGGTGAACCCGCCGCCGATCGATGAGATTTGCGGTTTGCCGCTCATGAACGAGACCTGCAATTTCGACTCGTGTGCGTCGGAGGATCGGATCAGACTACTTCCCATACAGTACATAGAGTTCGACCCCGTTCACGCGACGTTTGATCGACGACTCGATTCGCGACGATCGACTGACTGATCGATCGACCCGTACCTCGACCCGACGCGTCCTCAATCAGGTAACTTTTGCGTGTTTCCGCCCGGGTCTGAGGTCGCCAGCTGTTGCTGCGACGCGGAGTGTTTGCTCCCGGAGTTTAACGACTGCTGCCGCGACGCGAGGAGCTGCTGCCCGGCGATATTTCCGCCCGCCGCGGGGAACGCGAACACGCCGGGGGAAGGGGACGTGGAGAAGGTGACGAGGGATTCCGAGCCGAGGCGCGCGGCGGCGGCGCGGCGGAAAAAGCCGAGCGCCGAGAGCCGACGGCTCGACGGGTAGGCGACCGACGAGAGCGCGCGCGGCGCGACGGGGGGGATCGTTCGTTCGTTCGTTCGTTTAAAGCGCAGCACACGCACGCTGGGGTAGTCTTCTTCTTACACGACTAGATTGACGAAACGAAACGGCCGTCACTCAACCGTTTCGTCTGTCCTCCTCTCCACTCGCGGAGAAAATTAAAAGTGAATCGCCTTCCCGCCCGTCGCGAGCGCGGCTTCCTTCACCGCCTCGGACAACGTTGGGTGCCCGTGGCACGTCCGCGCGATGTCCTCCGTGCTCGCGCCGTACTCCATCGCGAGCACGCACTCCGCGAGGAGCTCCCCCGCGGCCGGACCGACGATGTGCGCGCCGAGGATCTTAGGGTCGAGGGTCCGTTCAAAGCGACGTCGGGGCGGAGTTGAAAGGCGTCAGAAGCGGATGAGTTGAAAAGCGTCGCGGCGCGTCGGGATTGAAAGCGAGGGGTGGTGGGCGGACAGAAACGACCGCCGGGAGAGAAAGTCCTCAAGGAACGGCGTCCACCACGCGAACGGGGTCGTATGGGGACCGGTATAAATAATATGAACGCGCCTTATCCGTGTGCTTGCACGAGACGAACTTCACGAGGCCTTCGGAGTCGTCGTTGGTCCGCGCGCGCGAGTTCGCCGCGAACGGAAACGTCCCGACGTTATACTCCGTCCCCGCCGCCTTGAGCTCTTCCTCGGTCTTCCCGCACCACGCGACTTCCGGGTGCGTGTATACGATGGACGGGATCACGTCGTAGTTGACGTGCCCGGATTTACCCGCGAGTTGCTCCACGCAAGAGATGCCCTCCTCCTCGGCTTTGTGCGCGAGCATCGGGCCTGAGGGATTTAATAAGAGACGGAGCGGGCGAGGGGGTCCGTCAGCGCGCGAAGCGAAGAAAAAGCGCAGCTCAGCGCGCGCGAACGCCTCGAGGAACGGAACGGAACGGAACGGACGCCGCCGCGCCGACGGGGGCCGCGCGCGAAGCGGTCTCGATCGATCGATCTTCCTTCGTTCGTTCGATCGTTCGTTCGTTCGTTCGTTCGATACAAAAAAATCAAATCGAAAATACTGTACCTTCGACGATGTCGCCGATGGCGTAGACGCCATCTTTGTTCGTCTTGTACGTGTGCATGTCCACCACGACCTGGCCTTTGCCGTTCACCTCCACGCCCGCGTCCGCGAGCCCGAGGTTCGTCGTGTACGGCTTGCGCCCCGTGGACACGAGGACGACGTCGGCTTCGAGAAACTCCGCCTCGCCGCCCGCGGAGGGCTCCACGGTGAGGAGAATCGAGCCGTCCTTTTGCTTCTTCGCGGCGGTTACCTTTTTCTGCATCTTGAAGTCGAACCCCTGCTTCTTCAGCGCGCGCTGGAACGTCTTCCGGACCTGGCCGTCCATGGGCGGGCAGATGTCCTTCCCGAACTCGACGACGGTGACCGCCGAGCCGAGCCGCGACCAGACGGAGCCGAGCTCGAGGCCGATGACGCCGCCGCCGATGACGACCATGCGCTTGGGCACCTCGGCGAGGTCGAGCGCGCCCGTGGAGGTGACGACCTGCGACGCGATTGGTGGGTGATGTGGCGGGAAGTGATGTGATTGGTTAGTTATTTTATGACCCGTGTGGACGTTTGATTGGACGAGAGCGACGGAGAGGGCGCCGGGCAAAGTCCTTAAGGATCGGCGTTCACGTCGCGAACGCGGTCGTACGGGGACTGGCGCGCAGAGCGCAAACGCGCCTGCTTCTCGTCCACGTCCACGCCCGGCAGGGACGCGGGCTCCGACCCCGTCGCGAGGATGACGTTCTTCGCGTTGATCGTGACCGTGGTCCCGTCCGCGGCGGCGACGGAGACCTCGCCCGGTTTCGACGTCAGCGAGCCCCACCCTTTGACGTAGGTCACCTTGTTCTTCTTGAAGAGCCCTTCGATGCCCTTCGTGAGGCCCTCCACGGACTTGGACTTCTGCGCCATCATCTTGCCGACGTCGATGGAGACCTCGCTGACGACGACGCGGCGTGGAGAAGGGGGGGGAACGGCGAGGTGAGAGAAGAAAGAAGTCCTTCAGGAAAGACGCGCGAGGACGCGCGGAGGAGGAGGCGGCGGTCGCGTCGCGTCGCGTCGCGCGCGGCGGGAGACGAACGACGTACGATGGATGAGAGCCGTTTCGAGGCGCGCGAAGGCTGGGGGCGATCGATCGAGAGGACGCGCGCGGGGGGGGGCGAAGGTCGCGCATCGATCGATCGATCGCGCGGCGCGACGACGACGAGAGACTGGTCTCCATACGACCGCGTTCGCGTGGTGAACGCCGATCCTTAAGGACTTTGCCCGGCGTGTCTCTCCGCGCGAGCGATCGTTCGGAGGCGGAAGGAGGACGCGGTGGGAGGACGCACCCGACGGTGATCCCGTGCTTCGCCATCGTGTGGTTCGCGTCGTGGAACAGATGCGACGCGTGCAGGAGCGCCTTGGACGGGATGCACCCCACGTTGAGGCACGTCCCCCCGAGCGTCCCGCGCCCCTCGACGCACGTCACCTTCATGCCGAGCTGCGCGCCTTTGATCGCGGCGACGTAGCCTCCGGGCCCGCCGCCGATGACGACGACGTCCTGGACGTCGCCCCCGGCGTCCGCGGCGAAGGATCGGAGGAAGAGCGCGTTCGCGTTCGCGCGCGCGAGCGGCGCGAGCGCGGGGAGGCGGCGGGCGAGCGCGGGGAGCATCGTGCCGCGCGCGTTCGTTGTTATGCGAGGCGAGCGGGGCGTGCCGTTCGCTTCCTTTTCTGTCGCGAAGGGACGCGGTCGGTTTCAGACGAATTTCACCCACCCCTCGGGATCAACATTTGATCGCGATCCCTTTCAACTTAACCGATACAGTACACTTTTTTCGGCAGTGCACGCGTTCGAACGACCCTGAGAGAAGACGCAGACGGCGAGCAGAGCTGAGCAGAGCGCCCCCACGACGCGCACTCCTCGCCGCGCGACGACGATGCCGCCCGCGCCCGATCACGTCGTCGACGTCATCGAGATGCTCGACGACGACTCCCTCGCGATGGACGCCGCGGGCGGCGCGAGATCCGCGTCGCGCGGCGGCGGCGCGACGCGCGCCCGCGCCGCCGCGTCCGCCCTCGGCGCTCTCGACGAGACGACAGGGACGGCCACCGCGGCGGAGGAGGAGGAAACCCTCGCGGCGGCGACGACGACGACGACGACGACGACGACGACGACGCGCGCGATCTTCGCGCGGACGACGAACGCGCCCCCGAACGCGGCGTGGGTCGCGCCGGGCGACCCCATCCCGCGCGCGCCGTCGCCGTCCGCGTGGAACCACCACCTCCGCGCGTCCGTCACCGCGACCGTGGACGCGCTCTGGCAGGAGCGACCGCCGCGACTGTTGACCTACTCTCCGTCCGCGCTCCACACGCTCGGATGGCTGCCGTTCTTGACGTCGTGGCGAAACCTGCGCGTCACCGCGTTCGCGTCGTGGACGCTGCACGCGCAGTCCGCGTGCCTCGTCGCGTGGACCGCGGCGTTGCACGTCACGCGCGGGCTGGGCGTGCCGCAGTCTCAGCAGCGGCACTTTTGCGCGATTTTTTCAACCTCCTACCTCGGCTCTCTGTCCTCGTTCGGCGTCATCACCACGCTCGTTCTGGGTCTGTTCATATCGCTCGTCGTGCAGAGGTGGTGGGAGGTCAGGACGCAGTACGCGACGATGCACAGCGCGATAATCGACGTCGCGGTCGCGTTCACGTCGTCGACGCGGCGTATACGGCGGAGGGCGCGTCCGGACGGCGACGGCGAGGAGGTCATCACCTTCAACACCCACGACGACGACGACTCCACCGTCAAAGAGTTCCTCAGGCTCCTGAACCTCACGCACGTCCTGTTCCTGTCCCAGGCTGGGGACATGGAGCACACGGTCGACGCCGCGAAGGCGTTGCGAGGGTGCTCGCTCGCGCGGCCGTGGGACTGGCACGCGTTCGCGGGTTCGTCGTGCGCGTCGTCTAAGGTGCGTTCTATACAAAAGTTTTTCACCCAAGCGTCGCCCGGTTTCAACATTTGATCGCGTCCCCTTTCAACTGACCGGAGAACTGTTTTTGTATGGAACGGCCCAAAGTCGCCGAGGGGGTCCGCGGGGGACCCGCCGCCGCCGCCACCTATAACGGACGATACCCGACCGTTTCCTTTACGCCACGCGCTCGGAAAACATCCCGCGAAGCTCGAGAGGGACGATTGCATCACCCTAGGGTTGTGCTCCGTGGAAGAGTGGGACGCGTTGCTGGGGACGCAGGCGCGGCGACGGCGGTTTCTTTCTTTTTCGTTCGACGCGCCGACGCGACCGTCTCGCGTGCTCGCGAAGGTACTCACCTTCGTACCCTACGCGTTACTACCCGCGCGCAGGCTCGAGGGATGCCGCGGTACATGACGTCGCACTGCTGGACGTTACAGGTTTTAATCGAGGCGAACGACGCGGGGTTGTTGACTGACGCCGCGTTCGCGTCGTTATCAGGTGCGTTCTATACAAAAGTTTTTCTCCCGAGCACCGCTCGGTTTCAACATTTGATCGCTCCCCCTTTCAACTGACCGGTGAACTGTTTTTGTATTGAATGGCCCTCAGCCAAGCTGAGCGCCGTGAACGCGTCCGCGGGGAGAGTCCTCACCTACCTCGCGTCTCAGCTCCCGTACACGTACGTGAACCTCGTGTCGTTCGTCTCGCACGTGTACCTGTTCGTCCTCGCGACGTGGTTCGGTTTCATGCTCTCGAGCGGGCTGAATCAGCTCGCGGTGGAGGGTCGCGGGACGACGCGGCTGGCGCGTCCACGTTTACACTGGTCCCCATACGACCCCGTTCGCGTGGTGAACGCCGTTCCTTAAGGACTTTCTCTCCCCGCGCGCGTTTCTCTCCGCCCGCCCCACGGTTTCGATCCCCGCCCTCGACGCCTTTCAACTCCGCTTCTGACGCCTTTCAACGCCACCCCGACGTCGCTTCGCGCGACGGAACGACCCTCAGTCGCCGGCGGCGGCGGCGGCGGCGACGACGACGACGTACGAATACTCGCACGAAGAGGCCGGGACGGACCTGCACGAAGACGCGCTCGCCGCCGCGTTCGGATACTTCTTCGTGATGTTCAGCAACGTTCTGTTCCAAGGCTTGCTCAACTTACACGCGCTCTTGGATAACCCCTTCGGGCACGACCCGGCGAAGTTTCCGCTCAGAGCTTTCATCGCGCAGGTCATCGGGACGACGGACGCGCTCGCGAGTGGCGCGCACCGCGCGCCGAGGTCGAGCTCGATCTCGCGCGCGCGCGCGAGCGCGCGGGGCGCCGCGGGGACGGGGAAGGATGACTGACGACGACGACGACGTCGGTTGGACGAATAGACTGCTGAGAGAACTGACGAGAGACTCACCAGTCAGCTTGTGAATTTTGACCGCTGACGTCGACTTGTTGACCCTGTCCGAACCTCTTGTTGACCCTGTCAGAACTAACTTGACCGATAAGTGGAACCAGATTGTTTTTTCAAGACTAAAAAGGCACCCGGGTGCCGCGTAAACTAAATGCGTAGTGCGGTAAAATCTCACCGAGCCACTGACAGCCGCGCATCACTGCAGCTTTTTACCTGTACAGTAGGATATTTTTCGCAGCGCCGTCACGTGGCACTCCCTCAACCCTGGTAGGGTCCTCACATTCAGAAAGCGCGCGCGTTGGCCGCGGGGAGAGGATGAACGACTTCGAGCGCGCGCGCGAGGTGCGGATCGAGGAGAACAAGCGACGGATGCGAGAGATGGGGATCACGACGTTATCCGAGAAGCTCGAGCGCGCGACGGAGACGCGGGCGCCGACGCAGGTGCGCGCGACGATCCACATTTCGATCCGACGCTCGCTGGCGGGAACATCCCCTCGACGCTTTTCTGCCTGGTCGCGTCTTCGCGCGGCTTCGCGCGTCGTATCGCGATCGCGTCGGTCGCGGAGCCGCGCTATCTTCTCGTGCGCGCGCATCGCGCGTCGTCCCGTCGCGTCGCGTCGTTTCGCGCGTCGCCGCGCGCGCTTCCCGACGATCGGTGACGAGATCCCAATAATCTAATCTAATCCCCGTCGTCTTCCTCCGCGCAGCGCAAGCCGTCGAAACCCAAAGCGTTCGTGCCGGTCGCGGAGCGACGACGGTCCACGCGCGAGCGCGCGACCGTGGACTACGCCGCGCAGGTCAACGCGCTGAACGCGTTCGACTCCGACTCCGACTCCGACGACGTCGGACCGCGAAAGCGCGCCAGGCGCGCTCCGGCGGAGAAGCGCGTTCGTAAAAAAATTCTCTTCTCCTCCGCCGACGCCGCGTCGTCCGCGGCGCGTCGGTACGCCGTCGGCGGTCGCGTGTACGACTCCGAGCTCGGGGTGACGTGCCACTGGTGCCGCCAGAAGACGGTCGAGCCGCACGTCCACTGCTCGAACGAGAGTTGTCGCAGAGGGAACCCGATCGCGTTTTGCGGCCGGTGCCTCCGGAACCGCCACGGCGAAGACGTCGAGGCGCGCCGCGCGTCCCTCTCTCGTTCGCCGCGTCCGTCGCAATCTTCACCTTTAAAACACCGCCACGTGTCACTGACCTCATCCACACACTCACGCCACGTCATCTCTCACGACCAATAGGACGCGATCCTCTCCGGGGAGTGGATCTGCCCGAAGTGCCGAGGCTCTTGCGGCGACGGCGCGTTCTATACACTGGTCCTCATACGACCGCGTTCGCGTGGTGAACGCCGATCCTTAAGGACTTTGCCCGGCGTGTCTCTCCGCCCATCCCTTGCGTTCAATCCCCGCCCTCGACGCCTATCAACTCCAACTGACGCCTTTGAACTCCACCCCGACGTTCGCTCGTATGGACCCTCGACCCTCAGGCTGCGCGTCCTGCTGCAACTGCGGCCCGTGCCGCAAAGCGCTCGGCCTGCCGCCGACGAACCAGATGATCAACATCGCGCGCGAGTGCGGGTTCGACAACGTGCACGATTACCTCGTGCACGCCGCCACGGGCGCGTCCCCGGAGGAGCTCCGGCGGCGGAAGAAGTCGCTTCCCTGGGGGAAGCGGTCGCCGCCCGGTCACTTCTCGAGCGCGAGAGCCGCCGCGGCCGCCGCCGCGGAGGCGACGCCCACCGCGGATTTAAACGACGCGAGGAGAGAAGATCGCGACGAGGAGGAAGACGACGAGACGCGCGCGGCGGCGGCCGACGCCGCGCCGTCGCCGCCGACGCCGTTTCAGGCGGAATCTATTCAGCGGGTGACGTCAAGCGAGAAGTAGGTCGCGCGCGCGGACGTCTGACGCGCTCGCGTTAGGTATCGATCGCGTTGAATTCGTCGTTCTATCGCGCGAAGGCGAATGCGATGGCGAAAAAAGGCGGGTCGATGCGCGACAGAACACTCAAAGGGGAGGGCGGGAGGGCGGGTCACGTTTTTATTTTTGCAACGTTTTACCTTTTCGGACGGGAAGGGTGCGAGAGAGAAAGCGTTGGCGAGGAAACGAACGAGGGGACGAGGAAAGACCGACCTGGGCTACATCTCATAACCAGCTAGGGCGCGTGGTACTGTGTATGTGTGTTTATAATAGCTTAACACTGTTAGTAATATCGTATGTTATCGCCGTGTATTATTCGTCTCGCCCGCGATATCGCCGCCGCGCGACCTCCGCGACGCGAAAGAATCATCATTCCGTCTTCGCGCGCTCTCCTCACACTGGTCCCCATACGACCGCGTTGGCGTGGTGAACGCGATTCCTTAAGGACTTTTCCCGGCGTCTCTCTCCCCCTCTCGCTCTCGCTCTCGCTCACGCGACGACTTTGCTCCGCGCGTTCGCCACGAACGCGTCGATCTTACCGTGATCCTTCACGACGCCGCCGTCGTCCGCCACCCCGGACGCGACGTCCACGCCCGTCGGACGCGTGATCCTGTCGCGGCGCGATTCGACGATTCGAGAGGCGGGCGAGGGGCGGGCGCGTCAGTCAGTCGAGTCGGCGACGCGCGCGTGTCGTGTTTTTATTGGCTGATCGCGTCTCCACGTGTCAAATCGTGAGGCTCACAACGCGCGCGCGAAGCGAAAGCGAAAGAAAAGAAATCCAACAGGGAGGGAGATCGCGCGGAGAAGAGCAGTCTCGACCGACCGACGCACCCGACCGCCTCCGCGACGTTCTCCGGAGTCAACCCTCCGGCGAGCAGCCACCCTTTCCGGCTCACCCCGCGCGGCACCTTCAGATTCCCCCACTCGAACGCCTCGCCGCTGCCCGCGTTCACGCCGTCGATCAACAGCCAATCGACCGTGCGTCGCGGCCCGTTCACCCAGTCGATCGCGGCTCTCCACCCCTTCTCGCCCTTGAGCGCCTCGTTCCGTTGATCCGTGAGCTTCGCCTCGTCCCCCGGCATCGGCGTCGCGATTGCGCCGTCCGCCGACGCGTTCACGACGTAGATCGCCTTGATCTTCATCGGGAGGTCCACGAGCGACGCGCGCGCGCCGTCGCCGTGCAGCTGCGCGTGATCTATCCCCGCCGCCTCGCACGCGGCTACGATCTCCGCCGCGGTCTCGTCGACGAAGACGCCGACGGGAACGGCGCCGTCGGCTCTCGCGGCGGCCGCCACCTCCTTCGCGACGTCGAGCGAGATCGACCGCTTGGACTTTGGCCAGAGGATCATGCCGACGAAGTCCGCGCCCGCGCGCGCGGCGTGCGTCGCGTCGGCCGCGGACGTCACGCCGCACACCTTCACGAGAGGGGATTTGTTGGGACCATCCGCGGCGGCGTCGGCGCGGACGACGACCGACGCGGCGGATCTGGATCTTCTTTTCGCGTCGGATCTCGCGCGGACGGTCGCGCGCGGGGCGCGGCGCGCGGTCGGCGCGCGCGCGGTCGCCGCGCGCGACGCGAGGCGTCGCGGCGACGCGCTCGCAGAGAAGGCGGCGGCGGCGGCGGCGGCGGAGGACATGACGCGGTGCGCGTCGCGCGGCGCGGTCGGGTGTGACGAGGAGAGACGGGGCGCCCACCACAGCCAGGCAGTCGACGACGTGGACGAGGGCGGAAACTCCGAGACACAGGGCCTTTACGGGATTTTCCGCTTTCAACGATGGTATTCGGCACGGTGAACGCGGGAAGATTCCGGGGTTTCAGCGAATATTTCAAAGGGGAAAAGACGCACCGGTCAACGAACCGCCGCTACCAGAAAAGTGTACAACTTGCCCCACCTGACCGCGCGCGCTCTTTTACGACACCTGCGGCGTGTTATCTATCCATCGCCAGACGCGCCACTCCCGCCGCCGCACGCTCGCCGCATCACGATGTCCTTCTCCGTCGCTTCCTCCGCCGCGCGCGTCCGCGCGCCCGCGCGCGTCGCCGCGTCGGCGCCGCGCGCCGCCGCTCGCGCGACGTCCCTCGCGGCCGCGCCATCGCGCGGCGCGTCGTCTTCGTCCGCCGCGGTCGTCGCGCTGTCGTCGAAGCGCGCCGTCGTCGCGACCGGCGTCGTCTCGCCGCGGGCGTCCGGCGCGGTCGCGACGCGCGCGACGCGCGCCAGCGCGATGCGCATCTTCGCGGGGCGCTTCGAGACGGAGCGCACGTACATCATGATCAAGCCGGACGGCGTCCAGCGCGGATACGTGCGTCGTCGAAGCTCGCTCGCGCGCCGCCGTCGTCGTCACCTCGAGACGACGTCATCGATCCGTCGCTTCCGCTTTCCGTCCGCGACGCGTCGGTCGCGACCGCCGCTCGCTCGCTCGCTCTGATCCCGAAGGACCCCTCGCGCCCTGAGACCATAAACCCTGACGTGACCGACCGCCTCCCTCGCGTCCGTCGCCGCGCGCCGCAGGTTGGCGAGATCATCGCGCGGTTCGAGCGCAAGGGCAACGTCCTCAAGGGCCTCAAGACATTCCAGGTGCGTTCACTACAAACGTTTTTATTCACCCATCGCTCGGTTTCAACACTTGATCGCGTCCCCTTTCAACTGACCGGTGAACATTTTTTGTATGGAACGACCCTCATCAATCAGTGCCCGAAGGCGGTTGCGGAGGAGCACTACCAAGACCTCAGCGAGAAGCCCTTCTTCGGCGACCTCGTCGAGTACATCTGCTCCGGCCCGGTCGTCTGCATGGTGTGGGAAGGCCCCGGGGTGGTCAAGTCCGCGAGGAAGATGATCGGCGCGACGAACCCGCTCGAGTCCGAGCCCGGGACGATCCGCGGCGACTTAGGCGCGTTCTATGCACTGGTCCCCATACGACCCCGTTCGCGTGGTGAACGCCGATCCTTAAGGACTTTTCCCGGCGCATCTCTCCGCTCATCCCTCGCTTTCAATCCCCGCCCTCGACGCCTTTCAACTCCATCTGACGCCTTTGAACTCCACCCCGACATTCGCTCGTATGGAACGACCCTTAGCCGTCGAGGTCGGGCGAAACGTCATTCACGGGTCCGACTCCAACGAGAGCGCGGAGAGAGAGATCGCGCTGTGGTTCGGCGGCGACGACGAGCTCGTGGACTGGACGCCGACGATCACGCCGTGGACGCGCGAGTGAGCGCGAGCGAGCGCGAGCGGCGGCGGTGGCGGCGGCTCCGTCCGTCGACAAACGCGGCGCGAAAGTCGTTCACCTTCACCGCTACAGTACCTTATTTCAAGAGAATTTCCCCGCCCGCTTATCAGTTAATACTGGACTGGATAATAATACACGTAAGCCTTCGTTCCTTCCTTCTTTAATCCTCCGTCGTTCCCCAATATTTCAACCTATAACTACGACTACACGTTGAAATCAATCAGAGGAAAGGTAATTAATTCTCCCATCCGACGCCGCCGCCGCCGCCGCCGCCGCCGCCCGCCGCCTCGCACCGCGCGGGCCCACCCAACGCCGGCGACACGCTCTCCGCGATGTGCCGCGCCCACGCGTCGTACCCCCACTCGTTCGGGTGAATCCCATCTCGCGCGGTCAGATCGTCCCGCCCCGCGGTCGCGCGCATCCACCGAATCGCGGGCTTGGACACGAACAGCACGCGCCCGCCTCGGCTTTCGCGGTTTGTTTGGTTTTTTCGGTTTTTTTGGTTTTCTCGGTTTTTTTGGTTCCGGTCGTCGTCGCCGCCGTCGTCGTCGTCGTGACTGGTTCCCATACGACCGCGTTCGCGTGGTGAACGCCGTTCCTTAAGGACGTCGTCGCCGCCGTCGTCGTCGTCGTCGTCGTCGCGCATCAGGTGCAAGCGTCGCTTCTGCGTGTCCCACACCTCGCTCGCGGCGATCGCGACGTACGAAAGCGGCGGCGGGAACAACGTCGCGAGGTCCATGGGCATCCCGGGAAGCACGACGACGCACTCGGGCCCGACGACGCGTTCGATCTCCCTCACCGTCTCGCGGAGCTGACGGCGAAACGATAACGCCGTCCGCCCGAAAAACGCCATCTTGAAATCGTTCACGCCGCACATGAGCACGACCGCGTCGACGCCGCCGCCGCCGCCGCCGCCGCCGCCGCGCTCATCTGTCGCGTTCAAATTCAAATTCGACAGCCGCCGCAGCTGCGTCACCTTCCGCTCCAGCTCCGGCAGCACCTCCCGGCGGATGGTGTCGACGTCGGCGCCGCCGACGCCCAGCGCGACCCACTCCGGGGTCGACGGCGCGCGCGAAGCGACGAACGTCGGGGTGGAGTTGAAAGGCGTCAGGGGTGGAGTTGAAAGGCGTCGCGTAGGCGTGTCGGGATTGAAACCGAGGCGTGGTGGGCGGAGAGACGCGCCGGGAGATAAAGTCAGTCCTCAAGGAACGGCGTTCACGACGCCGACGCGGTCGTACTGTATGGGGACCAGTGCAGTGTGAGATTATAAACGCGCGCACCTCCACGTCCACGCCGAGGAGCGACGCGAGCCGCTCCGCGATGATCCGAGGGAGCACCGGACCGCGCGCGGCGGAGGCGACGGAGCACCCGACGCCGGTCACGAGCGAGTCGCCCAGGACGATCACGCGTCGCGTCTCGCGCCGTCGCGTCGTCGTCGCCGTCGCCGCGCGTCGCGCGTCGCGCCGTCGATCGCGGATCGATCCGCGCTCGAGGTCGTCCCACCGTCGCCGCGCGCCGCCGCCGGCGGTTCGATCCCCGCCGCCTCCGCCTCCTCCCGTCGACCTCCTCTCCCTCCTCGCGTCGCCGCCGCGCGCGATCCCCTCCGTGGGCGCGTCCGTCGCGCCCGGCAGCGGGGAGTACGCGGCGTGAAGCGCGCACGCCTGCGCGTAGGTGAGCGCCGCGCACGCCGCGGTCGCGCCCGCGACGCACCGCGCGGCGCGGCGCATCATCGCCGCCCGCCGCGCGGGGGCGGGGCCGCGGAGGATCGCCGCGGAGGGATCGCGCCGGCGGAGGCGGCGTGAGCGCGCGAGGGAGGGAGGGGGAGGACCGCGCCGCGACCGAGTGCGAGTGGTGGCGTCTCCTCCGATGTTATGCCGTGATGACGCTCAGGCGGCAGCGCAGCGCTCGTCAGCGGTCGGCGCGTTCGATGCGAGCGTTTTTCACCCGTCACTCGGTTTCAATATTTGATCGCGTCCCCTTTCAACTCGACCGATGAAAACCGAATCGCACGCGCAGATCTCACGCGTCACGGCAGTCCCTCCCGTTCAAAAGCAACGCCAGTCTGATCGACGCTCGCTCGCGTCGTCGCGTCGTCAGAATTTCGGCGCAGCGGGGGAGGCATCCGCGTTAGCGCGACACCGCCGCCGCGGGCCGTTCGCTCACAGAGGTCGCGCTTCACGCGGCTACCAGATCCGCGCCCTCCGTCGCGCGCGCGCGCCGCGTCGTCCGCGCGCGCGTCTCGGACAGGAGCCTCGCGCGGGAGAGAGACACGCAGGACATCGATCGTCCTCGGCGCGAAATGCCGAAGGCGTCCGCCGACCCGGTCACGCCGTTCCGAGGCTACTGGGACGAGGAGGAAGAGAACGCGCTCCGCGATGCGGTGCAGAAGCACGGGATCGGGTCGTGGGAGAAGATGCGCCACGACGAGCAGTTCAAAGTCCTCAAGTGCGTCGAGCGCGACGCGATCCCCACCCCACCTCCCCCCGCGCCGGCGCATTCATTTCATTCCGCGACTGGGCGATTCCGGCCGCGGATAGACCGTCGTTGGCGAGTCATCGCGCCTGCCGTGCGCGGAATTCGCTTTATCGTCGCGTCTCCTCGGCCGCGGGGGCGGCGCGCGCGCGCGCGCGCGCGCGCGCGCGGATCGAGCGATCTCCCCCTCCGTCTCCCTCCCCCCTCCCCGCGTCTCTCGTCCCTCGATGAATCCCCTCGAGCGAGCGCTGACGTCGTCGCGCCTCCCCGCGACTCGATCCCCGCCAATCATCCGCTCGCTCGCTCGCCGCAGGGGACGCACGGGCGTCCAGCTGAAGGACAAATGGCGCAACCTCATCAAGTTCCAGCACCTCCGCAGGGGGGAGGCGGAGAGCGCGCCGTATAAGAGCGGCGCGAGAGGGCCCGCGCCGGGGAGCTCGAAGAAGCGCAAGGCGGACGACGACAGGTCCGAGCGAAGCGCGACGCGACGACGACGCGACGGAAGAATTTCGCCGATTATTCCGCCGCCTCTTTTCCCTCGCGAATCGATTCGATCGATTAATCGCCCGGCCTTCGCTCCCCCCCGCGTGGTCCGTCTCGACCGCGTCTCGACGGACGCCGACGCCGACGAGCCGTCCACGTTCGAACCCTAAACCCCCCACCCTAACCCCCTAACCCTCGCAGCAAGAAGAAGAACGCCAGCAGAGACGCCGGGAAGGGAGCCAAGGGCGTCAAGGGCGCGAAGAAGCTCACGGCCAAGGAGAAAAAAGCCGCCGCCGCGAAAGAGGCGGCGGCGGCGAAGCGAGAGAAGGCGAGAGCGACCGCGGCGAAGACGGCGCGGACGCAAGACGCGGTGCGAAGGAACCAAGAAGCCCTCGCGAAGAAGCTCGAGGCGTCGACGAAGGCGGCGAAGAAGGGGGGACCCGGCGGACCCGGCGTCAAAACCGCCGCGGGCGCGGGTGGCGCGTCGGCGGCGGACGAGGACAACAAGAAACCCACGTGGGGCGGCCCGAAGAAACGCTTCAAGACGGCGTACCACGACGCGGAGGACGCGGGCGGCGGCGCGACGGATGAAAAGGGAGGGGCCGTGACTTCCGCGGCGGCGGCGGCGTTGAGCGAGGCGACGGAGGCGTCGCGCGCGGCGGAGCGCGCGCTTCGAGAGGCCAACGCCGCCGTCGCCGAGTCGCAGCGCGAGCGCGAGGGCGCCGTCGCCGCGGTCACGAGCGCGGAGCAAGTCCTCATCGCGGTGAAGACGTCCGTGGAGGACGCGGAGGCGATGTATAACAACGTCCGCGAGGAGCTGGCGAGGATGCACGCGTACGACCACGAGGAACACGACGAGCACGAGGAGCACGAGGACGACTGGGATAAGTACCTGCATTTCGGCGACGGCGGCGAGGAGAAGGAGAAGGACGGCGGCGACGCGTCGCCGAAGCGGAAGACGCCGCGTAATTCCATGCGGTCCACGATGCCGGCGGGCGCGGCGGGCGGCGCGGGCGCGGCGGCGACGCCCGCGGAGCCTGGCGCCGCCGCCCCGGAGGGCGTCGTCGTCACCGCGGCGGAGGCGGAAGCCGCGGAGACGGCGGCGCGTCAGTTCCACGCGCTGCGCGGCGGCATGAAGGACGTGGAGACGACCCACGCGGCGAACACCGCGCAGGCGTCCGCCGCCGACGCCGCGCACCACGGAGGCCACGCGCATCACGGTGGGCATCACGGGTTCCAGCCGTCGCTCCAGGAGGCGGAGCAGTTTTTGCTGTCGGAGCTGAAGAAGCTCGAGGCTGCCAACGCGGCGCTGATGTCCGCGCGCGCGCGGCTCGCGGAGATCGACAGGCGCCTGGCCGCGGCGATTCAGCGCGTGGGCGAGTGCGAGATGCGCGCTCGGAGGGAACGCGAACGCGTCGCGACGCTGGCGGCGGGCGCGAAGGCGGCGGGCGGCGGCGGCGGCGGCGGCGGCGCGTGGGGCGTCGAGGGCGGGCTCGACGAGCTCGACGACGACGACGACGACGAGGAGGTGGAGGAGGAGGAGGAGGAGGAGGAGGA